CTCTCAGTTAATTTATAACTTTAATATAATCCCAGTAAAATTACCAAAGGGCTTTTTTTCTGGAGTAGACAAACACATTCTCGGCTTCCTTTGGGAGATAAGTAGGAAGGGGTAGGAAGAAGAGGGATAGAGACCCTGTCCTCCCAAACACCAACCGCAGTTGAGCGGGGGCTGGGCCAGCCGCAGATAGACATGGGGACTGCAGAAGCAGGATGAGAGCGGTGGCCCCTCGGGTTTGCAATCTCCCGTGTGAGTGTGATGGTAGAAAAGCCAGGAGCCTGCTGTGGTTTGCATCTTGAGTGACTCCCAGAAAAGACCAGGCGCAAGGGGAGAGTAGGCAACCGTAAGCGGCGTGGCTGGTGGGAGCTCTGAGATGGGCCATCACAGGACGGCTCTGTGCGTCTTTGAAGGGCAGAGTGGAGCCTCCTCCCTGACCTCTTTGTTTCCTCGCTGCCTTAGCTGAGCAGCTTCTTCCGCCATGTATCCCCACCTGACCAGCAGGAGACCCGAACCATCCTTTAGAATGAACACACCTGCCTTTTTTTTTTTTTTTTTTTTAAACAGGGTGTCTCTGTGTAGTCCTGACTATCCTGGAACTCACTCTGTAGACCAAGCTGGCCTTGAACTCTTGAACTCAAAGATCTCCTGCCCTGTGCACCACCTCACTTTCTCCTGTTAAATTGAGTGTTTAAGGTATTTTATCATAGTGACAGAATGCTGAGTGACAAGAGATTAACTTTCACACCTTGAACAATAGAATTCAGGGAAAAGAGATAGATTCATTAATGCAGAAACAAACACACAGAAGCTGTAGAAGGCGGGTTCTGTTTTAGCCTGAGGGTGATTTACCTTTTTAAACTACAATTCCAAATTTAGATGTCTTTGGAAGGAAACGAATACAAATAAATTTTAATAGCGAAATATTCAAAACTATGCCACAGGTAAAAGAATGCATTTCCCTCATACATAAAGGACTCCTAGAAGCGCGAAAAAAAAAAAAAAAAAAAAAAATCCCAGCAGCTCCTTGGGCAAGCGGTCAACCTGAAAGCAGCGGCTCAGCGGTTGTTGTGAGCGCTTGTTCTCACTGAGGACCTAGGTTCAGTTCCTGGGCACTCACATGGCAGCTCCCAACCGCCTGTGACTTGGTGACTTCAGTGCCTGGGGATCTGACACCCTCTTCTGGTTTTCTCAAGCACTGCACACAAATGGTGCCCAGACATAAATCTTTAAAAAAGAAAAGTTGATGCAAACTGTCGCTGACAATGTGAGGTTGTTTGTACAGTAACCTTTTTTTCTTGTCAGATGGGCCAGAGATGAGGCATCTCACAGGATGCTGTGCTGCAAAATGCACCAACAAGACAGCTACCTTTGCTCTTGCAGTGTGCCTTGGGAATTCACACCATAGCTCTGCATGCAATACAGGAAATAACAGACTACAAGTTCATTGTTTGTAACGTTGTTTAACAAAAGAGGGCTCAGCTGGGAAGTCCAGGCATGCACAGGAGGCTGGTTAAGTCCACAGTGCCCACAGTGCCTGCAGGGGCATTGTCAGGGGCTGTAAAAAGAGCAAGGAGCCCTCAATGAAGAAAGGATGGGTGTGGGATCAGGTTATCACACACAATCTACACACAATATAGATAGGCACGTGTGAAACAGCTTAAGGAAGCGGTCCCTTTGGGGCCTCCACTCCGGTAAAGCCAGGTCCCCGACTTTGCCTCAGAAAGGGGTTTCAGGATGGGCCAGTGTGAAACAGCTGGGGCTTATTTAAAAAACGTTTTAATGTATATTTAGGCACCAGTTTAGTAGGAAGAAAGACACTAAGGGAAATTAATAAAACGCCCGAGAACATGTTTGAGGGCTTCTCAGAACCCTGCCTGTGTGTCTTAACAGTAGCCAAGTTACAACTCAAAGGGTTGCTAAGAAGCCTCTGTGCCTTTGCTTTCATTTTTTGATAAGTGAGATGGTGCACTCCAGAGGTGCCCTGGATAGGGTTGTACTCTTACAGGGTAAAGCCATAGGTCATGAGGTTGCAGGGGGTTAAAATGGAGTTTCTTGTGAGGTTCCTAGAACACTGGGGGCTTCCCAATAGAAAGGAAGGTGTCCATATGATGCCCAGCCATTCCTACAAATGTCTCTGTGGCAGGGACATTGCCCTGTTAGCCTGCACGGCAGACACTGGGAACCATGCAGAGTTCTTGACGGCCTACCGGCAGAGGCTGCAGGGAGCGCCCTTTTCCCTTCCATAACTCCTTGTCTGTCCTGCATCATGTAGCAATAAAAAATTTATAAGGAAAAAAGGACGCAGGAATCTTGGCATGGTAGGCCTTCTGGTTTAGGGAGATTAGCTACACGTGTGTGTGTGTAGTCATCTTTGCTTATGTGTCAGTAACAAAAGTGCGTGTGAGAACAGAAGACTGGGCACACATAGTGGCGTGCGAGCATTATTGACTGTATTTCCACAGAACGTTGGTCTTCCGCCTTGATGGATTTCATGATAGGGGCGCAAATACAAAAGTGTAGAGGAAAGGGCACGTACATACCTTTCACGTCCATACTAGGCACAGCGTCATCGTCCCTTCTCCTTTTGAGGGTTACCTTACACACAAGCGCGTCTAACAGTATAGCTAACAGGTTTTTCAATATTTAATAATAAGCCATGTTTGCAAAGTGACAGCACACATCACTGGGCCTGTAGGAAAGCAGCTGTGCTGGAGTTTCAGCCGTGGGGACTGCATGGCTCAGGCCTCCTGCTGCAGCCTAAAAAATAGTGAAATCCCCACTGTGCACTGTGCTAATCACCCACCCCAAGGCTGCACGCCACAGCAGCTTTCTCTTGCGGGAAACCTCTTCCCTTCCAAATGTCATACGCCTGTTTCTCATGACCAGGAAGGAACTGTATTCAGGCTGAGTCACCTCCAGCATCCCTAGAGTTCTCTGTGCTCACACTGGAAGGCAGGGCTGTGCTTTCATAGGCAGACTCTCTCATGGGTCAGTCTGTGCTGGCCAGCACATCCCCTGTCAGACATGGGAATACTATGTTAAGTTCACCTGCTGTACTCTGCGGTCTTCTCCCCAGGGTATCTTTCAGCAGAACATTCTAGAGAAGGGAAGCTCGCTGGCACAGCTGGCCCGAGACTTGCTCTCTTAGCAGGGTTCTTTGCAGACTGCAGCTGGAGCTGCACAGTCAGGCCAGGGACTTTTCTCTTTGCCCTCTCCCACCGTCCTGTCCTTGGGTGCCTCCTGAAACCCCGAGATAACATGACGTACAGGGGCCGGAGTGAGTTGCGTTGTGGCAGAGGCGGTCCACCAAGAAAACCTCTTCCTGCTTTTCCGTCTCCCCCGCTTCTTAATCTAGCCTTAATGTGCCATCACTGTTGTATGTGGGGAGGGCAGGCCCTCCGCAGAGGGTGAGCTGCCACTGACTTCCTTGCTCTGCTGGGCTGTGGCCTGGCTTTCTTTCCAGCTCAGTGCGGCTGCTGGCCTAGGACTCATGAAGAGAAAGCTGGTTAAGGGAATTAATTGTACCTCGCCCTTTCCTAGTGGAGCAGCTGGGGGAGGGGCACCCTCCACGCAGTGGAAACCAGTGTACACAAGATACCTGTGCATGCTGGCGATGAAAGCAGACGTGTGAGGAGCAGCCATTACTGCCGCTCTGCAGTGGCGTGACAAGCTTATCAAAACAGAGATCTTTTAATATGTGCCTCATAATCGCCAGACTCCGCTTTTGAAGGCTTATTAAAGTGATCCTTTCAGATCTCCTGACTTGGAGGCTTGCAGTCAGAATTAGTAGGATATGAATTAATGACAGTTTATTACTCTCAGATGAGCTGTGCTTAAGGAGTTTCCTGTAAACGTGTGGGCTTTGATTTGACTTGTCAGAGCTCTGATTTGAAAACAAAGAAAGGTCGCTTTCCTCCCTCACTGCACTGCTGCTGCTGCTGCTGCTGCTCGCATGGGCAGTCTCCTGGCCCTGGTGGTCAGGTCTTTATAAGGATGGCAGGTCAAGGCTTCTAGCTTGTTTGGTAACCGCCTCTGTTAAAGCCGGGAAGTCTGTGAAGTGTTGTGACTTGATGAGCAGAAGCTGGGGTCAAAAGCCTGCAGCTAAGCCAACCTCCTCCATGTGTGTGGCACATGGTGGCCGCACAGATGGAACTGTGTGGCCAACTTCCCTAGAGAGGGCTGCATGTTTGGTGGCTTCTCTAGCACTCGGAGTGCTCTCTTTTCTTTGGAATGGAGGTCTCTAAGAGATTCCCATTAAAACGTATGGGCATGGAGCCAAACAAGCCCCCCCCCCAAAAAAAAGTCCCCAAAAGCCTCAGCAGGTAGCAGCACTACAGAAACAAGACTACTGTTGAGCATCCTCATCCGGAAGGGAGAGGAGGGGGCCCAGACAAAGCGGACACTAGAGAGGAAGGGGAAGCCTGAGTCGGGGAGGAAGGAGTCGGGCAGGCATGAGCTTGACAGGTGGGCATGAAAGGGAGGAGTCTGAGATGGGAGAAGGGACCTGAGAAGTGGGCAGGGTCTGAGAAAAGGATCTCAGCACCCGGTAGGTGTCTACGTTAACTACATGTGTTGTACATTCATACTTAATAAAATCAGTCGTAAAGCAAAATACTCAGTTATATAAAAATAAAGAAATGAACAGCAGAGTATCTTCATTTCTGCCAGGCTGATGAACCTGGACAGAAATGGAACCCTGAGAGGGAGGAGCCTGGACTGAGTACAGAAGGGAGGGCGTGGGTAGAGACCACAGTCCCTAGACTAGCCACCAGCAGCCCAGCAGTGGTTTGCTTTCCTCCGAGAGTTGTAGGAGTCCGCCTCTTCCCCGAGGGCAGCAACTAGAGCCCTTTCCAGAGAACTCTGGGCTTGCAAGGAGAGACGCACAGTAGTGGAGTGTTCCCAGCATGTCTGCGTGCCTTGCTTCATAAGAAGCCGTGACACGGACGCGGCCCACCGGTCCCTGCAACTCACGGCCTCTCTCTGTCTCCTTTTTCCCCCAGTCCTGCCAGGCTGACCTCGTGAAGGACAACGGCCACAAGTACTTCCTTTCCGTCTTGGCAGACCCATACATGCCAGTAAGGACTCATTTCTCTCTCTCTCAGACACCTGGGATTGTCTCTCTGCACTCACACGCTAGGTGTTGCCATTCGCGTCTGAAGGCCGGGTAGAGAGGCGCCCTACACAGTTAGTTACACAGGAGCAGCCACTCGGTGCGCACACTGCTGCATTCCCTCCTGCCTCGAGTGGGAATCTGGTCTTCCTGTCTGCCCAGCAGTGGCTTCTCCGTTACCTAAAACCTGCACCCTGGACAGAAGATGAATAAACACGTGTATGTCTACAGTCTGGTGCCTCGGGTGCCCTGAAGGCCCCTTACCAGGACAAGGTGTTGACATGCTTTACTGGAGGAAGGAAGAGATTGTTTGAAAATTTGAATTTCATACAGACTTTTTGTCATAGTTAATTGTTTTTTTAAAAAAAATCAGGCAGCATGAATGGAATATACAGTAGTTTTCTCAAATCTTTACCATCGGCTCTTTAGTCCCTCCCTCCCTCCCTCTGTTAAGCATAGTAATGTAAACAGAACAGCCATCCTCAGCCACTCTTTCATACGGCCTGCTTGCCAGATATTTAAGTACCACAGCATCTGTGCACTCTGAGATGGTGCCTATTAGATCTTCATGTGTGAATTCTTCCTCTGGCTGTTTGTTTGTTTTAGCTAACCCCAGCACACAAATGAGAACCCTGGAAAAGAGTCTGAGGCACATGCAGGCGGGGTGTTGAGGTGGGCTGGCTAAGGCAGTTTGGTTCATTCATACCTGTCAGCCACTATGTTTTCCTCAGAAACTCCAAGAAAACCAGAGGTGATGACTCAGAGCAGACGCAGCCAGGAAGAGAATCAGGGAAGGCGGCCCTGAGAAGGCAGCAGAGGCATGGGAAAGGGTGTGGGTGAGGGTGGCCACTGTTGCTGCGCCATTCCAGAACGCTGCAAGTGAGGTGCAGGAGGGTCAAATCTGAACAGAGCGTGGCTGGAACACTTGGCGAACTGAAGAGAGAAATGCGCAGTGAACCCTGGAACAATTAAATAAAGATAAATTCACACAGACACAACTCAGTCGGAGCAACAAGTACCAGAAGCGTACAGGAAATCCCCACAGCATTCCAGAACCCAGGAAGGGCAGACAGCAGCTGCAGTGGTGGCTCGTAGCAGTGACAGGCAAAGGATGGCGTGTGGCCCTCGAGCAGTCGCTAGAGTTCCCTGCTGAGCAGACATTTTATGACAGAATGATAGCTTGGCGCTTCTAACCCTGGAAGGTGGTGGCCTGGTCTCTGTTACAGTGAACTCGGTAGACAGTGCCATAGAAAAGAAGCAAGGACAATACCCAAGACGCTGGCGTTATAAAGGTAGATGATTGTCAATTGGATGGTCAGGGGTAAGGAGGGATATTGGGGTGAAGAAATGCCAAGAGTCTGGAGCAACCCCAGAGGAGCCCAGGGGAAGACTGTCAGTGTGCGTGTGGACAGGAACACACTTGGAGAAGTCACAGTGGGCTGCTGGCTTTCCACACAGACAAGAAGAAACTCCAGTGAAAATGGACCTGCTCAGTAGAAGACCTGAACTGAATGAAGCAGACTGCTACATTCAGCCAGGCCTGCTGGTGTGCTTTAATCAGGAGGCAGAGGCAGGCGCATCTCTGTGAGTTGGATGCCAGCATGGTCTGTGGATTTGATTTGAGCTTTAGGAACAGCCAGGGCTACACAGAGAAACCCTGTCTCAATAGACAGACAAAAGAGTGCTGCATTGAACTTATACCAGTGTTCCGACTCAGGACCCGGGCTTCCTGGGGCTGCACAGAGGGGAGAGCCTGATGTCGGGCCTTCCAGACCCATTAGTGCCACAAATCACTTCACCTGCCTTGACAGAAGATGGCGGAGCAGCCCGGGCGTGTTCCGTGGCTTCAGCACCCAAAGGAGAAGGCAGTCTGCGTGCAGGCCTTTGGGAGTGCCTCAGCACCCTGCACACTGCTCTCATTACATTAGGCGAGGGCTGAAGACAGCGGCGCACAGCGCTCAGAGGAGGTGAGTCTGCTGTGAAGGTGCACAGCCATGCTGTTTTGTTTTCCAGGCTGAACATAGGACCATGACGGCTTTCATTCTTGCTGTAATCGTCAACAGCTACACAACGGGGCAAGTAAGTAGCATGGCCTCTCCAGCCACCGAAGCCCAGGGATGCAGAAAAGTGACGTGTCTGAAATGTAGTCTAGGGCAGGGCTGCAGCGGAAGCCACATGTACAGAGAGGACCTTCGGATCCTAGCAGTAGGCAGGGTCAGCGCACTGCTGCAGGGCCAATCTGAATTGGCAGGGTTTACAGTGAGACGGTGTAGTATTGTGTGGTTGAGCAAGGCATTGTCAACCTAGTCGGGCTGCCCTGGCCCTGGGTACAAGGGCCGAGGACCACTCATCTGTCTCCTGTGTCCAGGAAGCCTGCCTGCAGGGGAACCTGATCGCCATCTGCCTGGAGCAGCTCAGTGACCCACACCCCTTGCTGCGCCAGTGGGTGGCCATTTGCCTGGGAAGGATCTGGCAGAATTTCGACTCTGCGAGGTGGTGTGGGGTGAGAGACAGCGCCCACGAGAAGCTCTACAGCCTCCTCTCTGACCCCATCCCTGAGGTGAGCTGTCCTTGGAAAATCAGCTTCCTAGTTGGGTGAAAGAATGGTAGGTGCTTTACACACCAGCAGTCCCACCAGGGTTCTGTTTGTAAAGAGGTCATGTGTTCAGAGCCCTGCCTATACTCAAACGTAACTGTGCACCCAGAATCTGCACAGGTCCCAAGATAGGCTACTGGGACCTTGCTACAAAGTCACACATTTAATTTTTCACTCATAGTAAACTGTATACATCCTGTGGACCAGGGCCAGGCTATCAGGCAGGCAGGCAGGCAGACACACACACATACACGCGAGGTCATGGCAGCCTACCCACTTTTGTCACACATCAGGGAGACCACAGTGGACATGGATCATGCCACAGGGTAACTCGAGACTCTTTGATACTTAGTCTGTGCCCGTCTATGTCTCTGGTACGACTAGACCCGTGACAGGGAGAGTGTGGACTTTCAGGGGCCTCACTCTGCTGAAGGAGAGACCACAGCAGGCCGCCATGGTGTCAGAAGTACTGTGGAGCCCTGGAGAGGAGGCCTTGTCAGGACCTGGTTTCTCAGCTAAGACGGTGCAGAGGGAAGGAAGCCCTAGTGCTCTGAAGACATGCACAATGGCGAGGGAAGGGTGGCTAAGCTCTGCTTAGGGCAGCAAACGCGGTCTTCAGGGTTGAGGATGTCCATTCTGGAACTTCCCTCTGGCTTGCTTCCTGCTAATCACACACAGAGCTGAGCATCTGCTGGTTTTCCCTGAGTTGCAGATGCACGTGGCACGTTGCCTGCCATGTTTCTGACGTGGCCTCTTGCTGGGAACACAGGTGTGTGTCGCTTGCACAGTTGTTTGTGGCAGGCCCGCTACTTCATTCTGGGAGGTAGAACATCGGAGGTTCAGACGACATCCCAGGCCACTAGGACACTCACCACACAGCTAACAAAACCATTCTTTGAAGTGGGGAGACCCAGTTATAGACTGAGTCTTGGTGAGAGTAGGAGACCCTGCTGTCGTTTGCAGAAATGACCACTGTGTGTGTTAACAAGCCAAGGGTCCAAGTGCCTGTGAGAGACTGTCCACTAGGTGGACAGTGTAGTCCTGGCCTCCAGCTCACAGAGACCCACCTGCCTGTTCCTGAATGCTGAGATTAAAGGCCGCCGTGGCCGGCCACAAGGCCGTTCTTAATATGCACACAAGTCTGCACATAAATAGTCCAGTGAGTTTTTCTTGGTGACATGGGTGTTTTGGTTTCTTGGTTTTTGGTTTTGTTTCCCTTTTCTACTGGAAGACAGGCTTGCTTTTCTCTACCCTCAAGGCTAGCTTCCTCTGAGACTCAGCCACTACTAGTAACAGAGCTGGCTGGTCTCGAACTTTTGATTATATAATGTAGACTGAAAGGAGTTTAGGGTGCACAGACTTGAAGCAGCCACACCCTAACTGGGTCCCCGTGTGTGGCGCTCTAGATGCAGCGCTCACCACTCAGAGCCTGGGGACAGAGTCCACGTCTTCCCACTGTAGAGCAGTCTGTAGCTTCGGGCAGCCTCTGGCCTTACTGACATTGTTTCACCCCGCCGACTACCCCACAGCCACCTTTCTCTTCTGGCGAGTGGGGGTTGTTTGCACACTGTTGAGCTGGTGTCCAGCTCTGTGTCGGATGCTTCCTGTCGCTCATCTTAGAGAGGAGGACACTGGCTCTCCAGGGTCAGCTTCTTTCCCTAAGGTCACATGGCCTTGGAGGCCGAGCTGTTCCCTTACTGCCTCTGAACCGTGGGGACTTTACCCTTCCTGGTTTCCGTTTAGCCCATACCTTCTCCACTTTTCCCATCCATGGCTGCACTCCTCCCTTTCATGGTTCAGCCCAGTGAGCTTCCTTCCCCCAGGTCAGCTCTGGGCCAGTCTTCTCCAGAACACCCTTTTCTGCGTCAACACTATAATCAAAAGTCCACTGTACAAGCCAGGCTACAGACTCCAGAAGAAACTGTTCCCTCCTCCACAGCCTGCTCATCCCTGAGCTGGGACTACACTGCCTCCGCCTTTGGCTCCTGGGCTACCCCCCCTACACACACACACACACACACACACACACACACACACTCTTTCTGCTTGTCAATACCAGTGTAGCTCTGGGCCTGGAGCATCGTGCAATAAGTGTTTGTGAAATTGAATTGAGCTGAACTTATGTGAACTGAATTGAATTAACTTGCAGACAGCCTCGGCAGAAATGCAGATGGCAGACAGGACAGCCGTGGGTGGGTCTCTAATTGCCTCTCTTCTGCCCTGCAGGTCCGATGTGCAGCTGTGTTTGCCCTTGGCACCTTTGTGGGGAACTCTGCTGAGAGGACCGACCACTCTACCACCATCGACCACAATGTGGCCATGGTGCTGGCCCAGCTGATCAATGACGGGAGCCCCATGGTCCGGAAGGTATGAGCGCCAGCTCGTTGAGGCGGGGGCCTCACTTGATCTTAAATGGCTGCGCAACTCTTTTCGGAGTGTGCCTTTGCTTGTGTCTTTCACACGAGGGCACAGAGCTGGCCAGGTCTGCTAGTGTCTTTACAGAGCAGCCTTCTCCCTGCCGGGCACAGGTGCATGGTGCTAGGTCCCTGCCGAGCAGTGAGTCTGTGCCCTTGCTCTCCTTTTCACTTGCCTTACTTCTCTGCTCCATAAGAAGACGTCCCCCACCCTCCCCAGCCAGCAAGGGAGATGCGCTGGCGAACCTGGAAGCTGCTCTAGAGCGGAGATATAGACCAGAAGGGCAGACAGGCTAACTGCCTGCGGTGACCATGGGCGCCTGCGCCACTGCAGCCACTGGCTTCTTGCTCGGCATCTCTTTTCTTTGTGGCTGTTTGTTGTTTGTTTTTTAGAGAGGGTTTTCTCTGTGTAGCCCTGGCTGTCATGGAACTTACTTTGTAAACCAGGCTGGCCTCAAAATCAGACATCTGCCTGCCTCTGCCTCCCAAGTGCTGGATAAAGGTGTTTGCCACCACCGCCCAGCTTTTTTTGTTATGTGCGTTGGTGTTTCGCCCGCATGTGTGTCTGTGTGAGGGCGTCAGGTCCCCTGGAACTGGAGTCACAGACAGCTGTGAGCCGTCATGTGGTGCTGGGAATTGAGCCTGGGTCCTCTGGAAGAGTAGCCAATGTTTGGTTCCATTGATGATGAGCCCATGGGAGGTCAGGCATGGCTTTGGATTAAATTTCTAGAGAGTAGCTACAAATGTGTAGCTAACTTGAGAGTGACATGCTCTAAACGCAGCTGCTTTCCCAACACGTGTTGGGGGCACGCACATGTCTGGGCACTTCTCACACTGACCCAGGTCACTCCCATTCTTCAACCTCCTATGAGATCTTTAGAATGTATAATGAGCAGCCAGGCACGGTGGCACACCCTCTAACCCCGGCACTTGGGAGGCAGAGGCAGACAGATCTCATTTTAGGCCAATGTAGGCTACACAGTGAGTTCCGGGCCAGCTGAGGCTGCAGCATAAGACCCTGTGTTTAAAACACAGAGCAGTGTCATCGGCACTGGCTCTGTTACTTACTTCTCCAGCCTCCTGGTCAACAATATTTCTGCACCTGCTTCCTTCAGCCTTACCCAGCTCTTCCCCGTCAGTTCTCCCAAGTGGAAACAGCTGATAAAAGCAAAGGATCAATGTTTTCAATTTTCTGTTAAGATTATTTCCAAAGTGTAGAAAGCTTTCTCCTTTCCGAAAATAATTTAGAAATAGAAATGATGGTGACTGAAATGTCTGGAGACCTGGATAAGGAGAAGGGTGGCTCTGACGCCCACTGGAATGTGTCCTGGGGTCCCCACTGCGCCTGCGTCTGCTTCTGCTGGTGGTCCCTTGATGTCCCTTTGAGGAGCCCAGCCGTTAATTCTAGAAGGTTCCAGTGCACCTCTCTTGGTCACTGGGGACTGTGTGATGCTCAGTGGCCTGCAATGTTGTGTGACAGTAGTGTGTCAGGCTCTGGGACTGTCGTGAGGGTTAGCAGATGTTCCCAGGTGGACAGCGTGGGAAAGGAAGTATTCCTCTCTGCATGTGTTTATCCGTTCCTGAGCTTGTCTTGCAAGTGCTCCCTTGTCCTGGACTCTGGATGTAGAGGTTAATGGCAGCCCATCTACGTAGTCTGAGTGTACAGACAAGCCAGACTTGGATGGAAGCTGCTTCAGAGGGTGACTGGGAGTCCTAGAGCATGTCACAGGACAGGACCCTGCTTGTAGTGGGGACTGAGTCACCAGGGGCATCCTGACCCACCTGGAGTGGCTTCAGAAAGGCAGTCTGGGCCTAATTTTAAAATACTCCAGGGGTGTGGAATTCACAGTGTGGCTTCAGAAAGCCTTGGGTTGATAATTGCTGCCTAGCCGTGGGAGAACAGACTGAGGCAATGACATCTGAGGACACCATTCACAGCCCCCCCCCCCTCCTCTGAACTTCCCTTTCCTGGGTTGTAAAGCTGAGTGAGCCTTGCTGTCCAGCGTTTCCTGCCTCCATGGACGTAATTGTTCCTTCTCCCTCTCAATAGGAGCTGGTGGTGGCCCTGAGTCACCTTGTAGTCCAGTATGAGAGCAATTTCTGCACTGTAGCCCTGCAGTTCATGGAAGAGGAAAAGAACTACCCCTTGCCTTCTCCAGCAGCTACAGGTACAGCGGCACACGGGGAAGCCAGGTCTGAGCATGCGTTTCTGATACTGCTTTGGGCAGTCCTGTTGTCTCGGGCAAGTCCAGGACAGGGGCCATGCTGACCCTCTATCTCCTTTCCTTCCTTCTCACCGTCCTTTGACTTCGAATTTGGGGACATCTTGAAAGATGGCACCTTCTGCAGTAGGGTCACTGAAAAGTACATTAGCTGTCTGCCTGTGATGAGTAATTGGATCACGCTGCTTTGGCCTCGTGTTCCCTGAGCCATGTTACAAAGCGCCTCCTCTCACACTTGTAGTCATCTTCCACGGCAGAGACTGTTTCATCCCCCTCCCTCCAGACCACGGTAGAGACTCGTGATCAGTAGCGAAGCATTCCTCCTTTCCCTCGGTCGGGAAGGAGATGGAGCCTGAACTCGCTGGGCGGAAACAGCCAGTCAGGTGGAGGAGCAGCTGCCAGCAGGCTGGAGTCGTGCCGGGCCCAGGCTGCCGGGCATCGCTGTGCTGCCGCCTGTGCCACAGTCACCTAGGATAGCCTCAGAGCTACCATTGCCTTTGCGGTCCACGCCATCTCGTGATCTAGTACTCTCATGGCTGCAGACAGTATCTTTGTCCCACTGAAACCACACTCACACCCGTGAGTGACATGAAGGCCCTTCTAAACTCACCTTCGTCCCAGTAACACCGGCTGTCTCTGTTGCCATGGCTTCATGCCCCCGTCCTGAAACCCATTGTAACCCTTTCCTTTCTCCATCTTTCCTAGAGGGGGGCAGCTTAACCCCTGTTCGAGACAGCCCGTGCACCCCCAGACTCCGTTCCGTGAGCTCCTATGGGAACATCAGAGCTGTCACTACAGCCAGGAACCTGAACAAATCCTTACAGAATCTGAGCTTGACAGAAGAATGTAAGATGCCAGATAGCGGTATTTGGGTGGGAAGGTTCAGTGTGCTCTTTACAAGACGTTTCTCTAGAATGCTTCTGTGCGCCTTGACCCTACCCTGCAGAACATAGGCCCTGGTGTCCTGTGTACCAGCATGACAACTGGCTAACTGTCCCTGAGTCAGAGTCTTCCTCCCAGACATGGACATAGCAGAGACCTGGTTCAGCACCCAGGTCAGCCAGGGCCACACTGTTGACCTCCTTCAGTGAGGCCAGGGCTTACTGTTCAGGGTCCCTTCCAGGGAACCATTAGTATGGTCATGTGTGTGTATGCATGTGCCCAGTGTGAAGAAAGATCATATTTCAGTCGGACAGGCCATTACTGTAAGGCCCTGACCTCCTGCCTGTCATTTCCTGACCAGCGGGCAGCTCGGTGGCCTTCTCCCCTGGGAACCTCAGCACCAGCAGCAGCGCCAGCAGCACCTTGGGAAGCCCTGAGAATGAGGAGTACATCCTGTCCTTTGAGACCATCGACAAGATGCGTCGTGTGAGTTCCTACTCGGCACTCAACTCCCTCATAGGTGAGTCCCCATCCTCACCCTTCCTGCTGGTGCCAAGGGCTTGCTCTACCGCAAACAGCACACATCTGTATTTGGTCAGATAAATGAGCCAGCATATCTCCATTGGATGCAGAAGAGTAGGGATGAGCTCACTTGAAGAAGTGAGAAGAACATTTTTGCGATGGGATGGTATTTTTTCAGGCTGGTCCAGGGATGTGTGAGCTCGCCGGCTTTGTCCATCTGTCTGTCTTTGCACCCCTCCTGTGTGCTAGCCTAGCAGTGTAGCACTCAGCTCAGCTCAGGCTCCTGCTTACCACAAGAAAGGATGAAGTGGGTGCACCAGTTTTCTGGTGGGCAAAGCCAGAGGTGATGTTCACTCCCCTAGTGCCCAAGGGAGCCCCACGGTAAGCAGTGGGAGGGCAAGGCAGAGGGTGTGGCTCTCCCTGAAGGGCCCTCAGTGCCCACCTGCTGAAGCTGCACCACACCTGGCTGCTTGACCCTTCACTGCCTAGAAATCGGGGTTTGATGGGCAGAGTTCTCTCTAATTCTGCCATGAGTGGCAGTCCCTGGACTTGACTGTCACACAGGAAATGAGAATTAGCTACTGAGTTTCCTGCTGTACACCTGTGCTCATTCTCAGACTTGGGAATTAAATTGTAAGCCCTAAGCAAACCACACTTCAGGTAGTTCATGTTGGTGGGACCCTGTGTGACATGTACAGTATAGCCTAGGGCCCTAGAATCTTCCTTAGGCTCAACAGCGAGGACACAGAGCCTCGCCACGGGGCAGCTCAGCCTGTCTCCTGCTCTGGTACATGAATACCAGCTGTGCCTGATCCTGGAGATGAAGGGTTGAGGAGTCATGTTTTGTTGGGGTCACCGCATATGGTGTGTCTGCTTTACCCGCCCTACCCACCCCCTTAGAAGCTGGTGTCTATGTGGTGACACTGTGTGTGTGTGTGTGTGTGTGTGTGTGTGTGTGTGTGTGTGTAAAACAAGTTATCTGTATGTCATTCAGTCTTGGAAAATTGCGTGGAGGTGCAGCTAGAGAGAGGGCTCAGCAGTTAAAGGCACTGGCTGCTCTTGCAAAGGACCTGGGTTTGATTCCCAGCACACACGTAGTGGCTTATAACTGTAGCTCCAGTTCCCAGGGATCTAATCCCCTCTTCTGGCCTTTGCAGGTACCAGGTACATCCATGTACACAGGTATACATGCAGGCATGAAAGAAAAAACCAAAATTTGAGGGGGAAAGTTTCAAAGGGAGTAGAGTTTGGGAGGAAAAGGAAATGGTAGCCTTCCTTCCTGCCGGCCCTGTCCTGTTCAGTGTGGTGGTGCACACACTTCCTTCCTGCCGGCCCTCTCCCTGTTCAGTGTGGTGGTGCACACACCTGCTGGAGACCTCAGAGTTTACGCAGTGTTTAAGATTCATAACGTGCAGAAACTCATTACTGGCAACACTTGCCTGTGTAAAGGCAATTTCTTCTTCATTTCAACCAAAGAACAGCAATCTCTTTATCCCCTCTCTCTGAATATTGCAAAAGGGTTCTCAAAACCATGGCAGCCTAGAGCACGCATTCACACCTGTTGTCACAAAGCGGCTCCCTTCCAGATGCCCTACCCTGTTCATCCCAGCTCTGCTCCGTGTGGTGACCTGCTGTCTGGCTCCGTGGTCACCGGACACAGGAGGACCCGGGGCAGAGGGAGCACGGGTCTCTACCCTCGTCACCCTCCATGGGTCCCCTCATCGCCCCTTCCTTTTTCTGGCCTCTCTGTCCCTGTGCCATGCTCCTGCCTGTGAACCATGGGAGGTTCTCCAATGCCAGGAGAGGCTGTACTTCCTGGAAAGTGTAGCCTGCAGACGCTCACGCCTCCCCTCACTGACGGTCTCAGATGGGCAGCTCTACCGTGTGCACCCCAAGCTGACTCTAGCCCTGTGAGACTTGATGCTTCTCTGCCCCCCTTCCCCGGAGCTCAGAGCTCTTGCTAGGACATTGCCCTACTTGACAGAGTAGTGGTTGTTTCTCTGGTATACCTGACCCAGCTGCATCAAGACACATGGCTGCCATTTTTATTATCAAATTTCTGAAGAGCTGCTTTTTTCTTTAAAATGTTGTTGTTGTTATTGTTGTTGTTGTTGAATGTGTGTGTTGGTAGGCATCTACATGCCATGGCATACATGTGGAGGTCACAGTTCTTTTTGGAGCCAGTTCTTTCCTCCTGCTCTCCCATGGGTTCTGGGGTTGAACTCAGCTACTCAGGCTTACACCGGAAGCCCTTTCTGCTGACTGAGCAGTCTTGCTGTCCCGAGGGTTGTTTCCACTGATGTGTACAGCCAGCAGCCTTGCCTGTCCTGCCTTCCAGCTTGTTCCCGGGGTTCCTGATACCCACCCGTGGAAGTAGGTCAGCACAGAGTGGGTAGAGGCTGGAGACGGTGAATGGCCCGGCTGACAGAAGCCTCCTTACCCCTTGGCAGTGACGCCCACTGTGCGCAAAACCTAGGCCCGTGTCACTTTGAACCCTGACCGCAAAGACTCTACTCCCTGCCAAAGCCCACCCCCAGGGAGGAGTTCCTCACTGTGTACACTCTGCCTTCCCTGTCAGCTGCACCTTCATCAGAGACTGGTGCCAAGAGAATTTCTGTGTGGAGACTTGTGAGGAAGGGTATGGCCTCACTTCAAAGGCACTGGGAGCCGCAGAGGACGAGACCAGGGTTTTTACAACTCCGCTGAGCAGTGACATTTTATAGCACGCTTTAAATGCATCACCATGGTAACCAGTCCAAGGTAGAGCTGATACTGAGGACAGAGGAACAGCAGAACCACAGAGCTGCCCTCATCCTCGCCCTTGGTGCTGCCCAGAGCCCTGCCCTGGTGTGTGCTCCAGTGTAGCAGAGTTTAGATCCTAGGGAGAGAACAGCAGCCAAGAGTAAGCTGTCTCTTACCCTGAAGACCCCTCAGGCCCCGTGGGTACTGGTCAGTCAGCATGAAAGCGCCAGCCAGCCGTCAGGCGCCTGCTTTTCCCTGCTCTTCCTTGTTCACCTCCTGTCAAGGGGTCAGGAAGCACAAAGAGATTTTCACACCCCAGCCCACAGCAGTGGTCCAGTGAGGGGGCACACTGCGATCTGCCCTGGCTGAAAGAAACCCAGCAGGGACTTTCTGAAGAAAGTGCTGGGCACACAAGCTCGGTGTTAGATTGCTCACCTAGCACACGCTGGTCCTGCTTTGTCCCCAGCACCATGGGGTGAAGTGACCAAGGGAATTGAACACATTCAGAATGGAGATCCAACAACCAATGAACTGAATTCTTCTTTCCAGAAAAGCCTTGGTTGAAGCCAAAGCTTAGTGGGTCATATGAAGATGCTGAGGGTCATCTAGAAAGACCAGCAAAACTGGAGGCTCAGTTACAGCCACATGGGTAGGGGAGGCCAGAGCAATGGTTCAACATAATTCCCCCAGAGGTTCCATCAGGACTCAGGACTTACTCTGAAGTACCAAGACAGGGAGCACAAGAAAGGACAGATGCAGGGCATGGGAACAGACACACGCATGCATGCACGCACACACGCAGGTACGTACACCCAGACGCGCACGCACGCACACCCATCACCACCACTGTAGCCTTGGACCTGTGTTTCTAAAGACTGTAGAAGCCTTGGCCATTCCCGGATCATCAGAGGACCTGACCTCACTCTGCCCCAGGTCAGTCAGTACTACAGCCTCATGTTCTGTGGAGCTCCTCTCACCAGCAAGCATTGAGGTTCACACGCAGCTGCAGAGCTCTGAGAGACTGCCTTTCGTCATACGCTCTTTGGAAAGTTGTGGCCATTTCCCTGAAAATCAATTCTAAAACATCACGTCTTATAGTCTAGACATCAAAATAGATCCTTAGCCCTTCCAGGGCTCAGCTAGTGGCAAGCTGTAGGGCAGGCCCAGCTCCTGCTCTGCTTTGAGACAGGACCCAGTGTCCTTACCTTAGTCAGCATGGGCCCTGATCCCTGTGTGAGGGTGGCAGGCTGTGTTTGGGAAATGACAGATGTCAAAATAGGGCAATCCACTGGTCAGGGAGCCAGAGTCACTCCTGGCAAATCAAGGCAAGGTGTGAAATCTTTGCTTTCCACTAAAAAAAAAAATTGTACTCTGCATCACAGTCCAACAGTGATAAAACTGAGAGGTTGTTTGTGTTCTCTGTTGTGTCCTGACCAGTGCTATATGGAACTCAAGATCCAAAGAGTCAGCCCAGTAATTGAAAAGGTGTTCTAAACTAAACAGTACTATTTACAAGTGGCTCCCTTCCTCTGTGTCCTGCACACTGTTCAGCCTTTCTGGCGGATACTCTATGGGGTTCCTGGTTCTAAACAACTCCTCACGGGAGTCTGTGTCTGTCACTCCAGCACATGAGGCCAACCAAGGGCTCTGGGACCTCACCTGTGCCCTACCTGTCCCGTTCAATTTAGGATCTCCAGCTGTGTGTGCATGTTCCATCATTAAATTGACAGATGGGCTACGCAGAGACCCCATTTGTCATGTTCTGTCCCCGCCCCCCTCCCCCCTCCACTTCCTCCCATCCTCTTCCCTGTCTGTGACTGACCGACATCTGAGTCACACGGGTTCATATCAGCATCACGTCCCTTTCCAGCTCTGTGTCACATGGCGACTGAGCTTTACAAGAAGCTGCTTCCAGTGTGTCACTCCTCTGAAGGGAGCCTGAAAGCACTAGTAAGTCTGTGAGCACTCCCTGTCGGCTGGAGAAGGGCTGCCAGCTCCATCAGCGGGGCCGGTTACCTGTTTCTCTCAGGTGAAGCTTCTTGCAAAACACATGACATCTCCTTGAATGTCATCAGTGGGGAACTTGTCTCTAGTACACTCAGAGGAGCAGCTGATACCTGACAACCCCATACCCAGAGCTGGAAATGGATCTGAGCACATTTGCCCAGAGAACTCCTGGGCTGGTTTACTAGTTTTCTTAGACGTTAGTCGTGAGTCTAGCCTACTGTTTGGAACTGTGGAGTTTAAGTTGTGAAGCTGGTCTTCTGCTTCTGAGCTATAACAACACGAGAGAGCATGCAGTGAGTGGGCCACTACTAGAATTGGATTGTCCCTGCCACTGCTCAGCCCAACTACAGTGGGTTTGTGTATTGTTTCAGTTTACCACATCCAAATTTACCACAGGCCTCAGTGTCCAGGTACATACGCCTACCTGGACAGAGCCAGTACTGAAGGTCTTAGGACCTGTGAGTGTTTCATGCCCATATTCTGTTTCCACAGTCACAGTCTGTCTGCACCCTAAAGAGATGCCTTTCTCGGAGGCTGAAGACCTGGCTTAATGGCTAAGAGTGCTTGCTGCTGTTGCAGAAGGTCTAGGTTCGGTTCCCGGCACCCACATAACACAGCAGGTCACAACCATGTGGAACTCTGGTTCCAGGGGATCTTGATGCCTCTCCAGAGCTCTGGGATCTTGCATGCACACGGTACCCTTACATACCCATTTTTAAAATTAAATATTTTTAAATGCCTTTCGTAAGACTCAGGTGCTCGGTGATAGGGAGTAACATTTCAGTCACCTAGACAGGGAAACCATGCACTCAGGAGCTGAGAGGAAGTCCTCTTGGTTTCTGCAGCCTCTTGATGCCGTGGCTCAGGCTTCACCCTACACAGCCCAGGATTGGTGGAAGGGACATCGTGAGTGTGCAGTCATTAGGGGTGTACACCTGTGTTGAAGTCATGCACTCAGTGAGCCTCATTCCGCGATTCCTCATCAGTCTGACTCTGAACTTGAATGCATTCATGAAGCTCAGTGAGTGACACTGAGTCCCCTGACAGCCTGGCTAACTCTCAGACTCTTTCATAAACACGGGGCATTTGCTCCAGTTTGTAAGCAGGGGACATGGGGTCAGGGCTTGTTTGAAATGTTCCGTGAATCTGTCTTGCTGGTGTCGAGTAAGAACACCTTTTGCAGCAATCAAACTGTTAGATTTACCCTGCAGCACGGGATGGCGCTGTCCATAGCAGTGTCTTCCACCCCCCTGTGAAGCTGGCTGTCCCCAGTGCTGACAGTCAAGCAAGGACACAAGCCCCGCGCTCAGCCCCTTTATTCTCTGGGCAGCCACTTCTCAGCTGATGCCCTCTTCTAAGGTCCCCTCTGTCCCAGCGTGGAGTAGCCCTTGCTCCTAGCAGGCTCCCTGACCTAGCAGGCCTGACACATCGCCCTTGGGTTTCTGAGTTAGGCTGCCCCTTGCAGGGGTCTCGGGTTTTGTCTGTGCCTCTCCAAAGGCTTGGTGTCTCCCATCATCCCTGTAGCTCCCATCATCCCTTGCCCCACTCTGCTCCCCTGCTGAGGGGGCAGACCTGCTCCTCTGAAAAGCCATCTGCACTGTGCACCTCCCTAGGGCATCCCTGTGACCTTGAAGTGGCCTGGCTTGCTGGTCCAGCATGTACCTTCACACACTTCCCTTTGCAGCCGGGCATGAATCCTCACTGGACCTTACCTTCATTCCCTCTCGTGCTAGGAGCAATGCCATCTTTAAGATTACTGAGGAGTTACATGGGATGGGGCAGCTTCCACTAAGGTCCTTGGGGAGTACGCCTTTTCTTCCCTTCATCCTGGATAATGACGTGTCTGGGTCTCAGGAGCCCTGTCTTGCCTGGCTTTGCAGCACAAGACTGTGATGACAGTATATATATGCACCTTGTGACTTCCTAGGGACTTAGAACAGTGCCAGCATAGGGAGTGGACAAGAGGAGCCCAACAAGTCACAGGCATACACAGTGTAAAATGCACTGTGGACAGAACCTTACATCCCACATAAACTGTGTGCTGTAGTCCATGGTGTCATCTGGGTACCTAGAACATGAGAGGAAATAAGCATGGGAAGTGGTAGTATTCTCCAACCAGTATAGTTATCCAGGTGCAAACCTGACTGTTTCCAGCCATTTTCCTTTAGAAAGACCCAACCTCAAAAGATAAACCCTGCCAGCATGGTGGTGCATGCCTTTAATCCCAGCACATGGAAGACAGAGGCAGGTGGCCCTCTGCAAATTCAAAGCCAGCCTAATCTACATAGTGAATCCCAGGCCAGCCAAGATACATAGGGAGACCCTGATTCAAAAAAAAAAAAAAAAGCAACAAAAGATGAAACCTTTTAAACTGTGTGCATGAATGCATGCGTGTATACAAGTGTACCATGGAATGCATGTAGCACTCAGAGGGAGTCAGGTCCCCATTTGGGTTCTGGGAGTTGAAATCAGGTTATCACACTGAACAGCTAACAGGGAAGCTCCCGTGTTACTCCAGCTCTAATGCTGCCTCCCGACAGCATGGCGTATACAGAAAACAAGCTACCTCACAAGCCTGTCTATGCACCAGGAGTTAACTTGCCACTGAAATATGTATTTCTCTTTCCTAGGAGTTTCTTTCAATAGTGTTTACACTCAAATTTGGAGAGTCTTACTGCATCTAGCCGCTGATCCCTATCCAGATGTTTCTGATTTGGCCATGAAAGTCCTCAACAGCATTGCTTACAAGGTATGTGCATGGGAGACTGTCACTCACCCTCTCACATTTCTGCTTCCCTTATGAATATTCAAACAGGGACATTCAGGCCTGTATTGTAGCTTAAAAAACAAATAGAAGCCAGCGATGGTTGTGCACACCTTTAATCTCAGCACTTGGGAAGCAGAGGCAGGCTGATCTCTGAGTCCAAGACCAGCCTGGTCTACAGAGCACGTTCTATGACAGCCAAGGCAACACAGAGAAATCTTCTGTGTTGAAAAACCAAAAATTGGATGGACGGATGGACAGACGGATGGAAGGAAGGAGTTGAGCAAGCATTTTGAACTTAGAGCTTCATGGTATATCCTGAACTTTACTTGCATTTTAACTTCGGGTGTCAGTGCTGCCAATGTTAACGTGACCTCCATGTCTGTATAAGCTGTAGCGATGTCCTCTCTGCCATCTCCAGGGCCCATGTTGAAAGCTGTGGGCGTTTGTACTCACTGGTTTTCTGCGATGTTTTTCTTCCCACTTGACCTAGCTGCTCTTTTTTACTTTTCTGTTTTGAGTTTTCTTGTTCTCATTGTTTGGGTAGACTAGCATAGTCTTCTTTGGGGATATGGCTTCTTCCCATTCCTTTCTAAGAGCTCTGGGGATCTGACCTAATCCTTTCCCAGCCTGTGGGCCCTCATCCCACTCACTGAAGAATGTCAGAGGTTCAAGAGACCTCCCTGTGGCCTTGGAAACGCCTTGTACTCTTCCCTGCAAATCCCACCTCCTCCCCCTGCACCTCCTTCCTGGGTCTTGATTGTTCTTTCAGCCCTAGAGCTCTGGACCCTGCAGTGGATACTGGCTGGAAGCGTCTTGTCCCCAGAAGCCGGGATAGTTTTCCATCTCTGAGGGGCATGTAGTGACTGAGGTGTTCGGTGTCGTCTAATTGTTTATTAAAGTTAGGCAGTTCAGCTCTCATACCTGGAGCAAGCTGGAAGTCATTATAAATAAAAATTCCTATAACTTTTTCATGAAATTTTGAGCATGCAGAAAAGCTGCAAGGAACATAGAGAAAACGTCGCCCTGCTTGGTGTTCAACCCTTGGCTGACCCCATCATACTGGGGAGTTGTCCCCAAGGGTGACTTGCTAGGTTTATTCCCATTGAGGTACAGGTGCCTGTCCTGGTGCTGTCTGAAGCAGCCGCTCCCACAGCTGAAGGCGTGTTCACAGGAGATGTGTTCTGTGCATCTAGTTCTGTCTTCTCCTTAGCTGATTGGAATCGTCTGGCTGAATGCAGCCGCTGCTTCCTCAGCCAGCTCCTCCCTGTGCCCACCTTTACAAGGCGGTGTCTCTCTGTCAATACCAGAGTACACTCTGGGTTCTAGACTCAAGGTGAGGTCACACTTAAGGTACAGGGGTAAATCATACTGTTACTGTTCTCCTGCTCAGAAATTCCATGTGTTGAGCGTGCCCAGCCTGGGGCAGCCTGGCTTGTTCCATCCAGACTGACTTGGCCTCCTCCAAGGGAGATGCAGCCTCACTCACTTCCTAACCTGTCTCCACCATGAGCTTCCCAGCCTTTGTTCCTATATGTGACCCATTGCAGAGATGCCCACCCTCGATGGACAGTTTGCCAATACCAGTCACTGGCTAATGGAAAACTGCAGGTTTTATTGTTTAATGAAAGTTAAATATTGTTTAAGTAAATCATCGTTTTGGCCGGGTGGTGGTAGTAAACGCCTTTAGTCCCAGCACTCAGGAAGCAAGGCAGGTGGATCTCTGTGAGTTCAAGGGCAGCCTGGTCTGCAAAGCTACACAGAGAAACCCAGTCTCACAAAAAAAAAAAAAAAAAATAGTGTTTGATAGAAAATTAAACATTCATTACAGTATGTATCTGTTATATACTACAGTTTGAGACCAAGGGAAGACGAGCAAGAGGAAAACAGGGAAGAAGAAGAGAAAAAAGGAAGGTGGAGAGTCTGACTAGAGGAGGGACTTCCCTTGTCTCTACAACAGCAGCAGAGCCTGCAAGAGCCACATCTGCTGCTGCTGCTTAGGGAGGGCTGTCCCTGCCACTGCCTATACATATGCTCCAGCATCGCCCAACTAGTGCAGTGTGTGTGTGTGTGCATCTGTGTGTGTGTGTGTGTGGGTGTCTGTGTGTGTGTGTGTGTGTGTGCATCTGTGTGTGGGTGTCTGTGTGTGTGTGTGTGTGTGTGTGTGTGTGTGTGTGTGTGTGCATCTGTGTGGTCTGTGTCCATGTCTCTGAGTTTAAGGCCAGCTTGGTCTACAAAGTGAGTTCCCAGGACAGGACAGCCAGGCTACACAGAGAAACCCTGTGTCATGTATGTTTGTATGTATTTGAAGTCATCCTAAAACTTCATGTGGACAGTATGTCTCTGTAGCGTGTGCTAAGTTTGTAAGCAGTTCCATTCCCACATCACAGCTCTCTTACACAAAGGTGCCTGGTGCTTTATTCTGTGTTCTTGGAGACGCCTGACCATGGCCACACTTACACAAGCTGCACTGAGGATACTTTTACCAGGTTGGGCCCATGTCTGCAGTGTGTTGGTCATGGCAAGTGCGGACTCAGCTCTCGGCATTTATTTTCCATACATTGATGTATTTGCCCTTACAGGTACTGTGCCTGAATTCTTTAACACTGTAATCCTGGTACCTGCTGTTGAATTTCACTACCGTGAGTTCAGTGGTGCAGACAATAGTCTTGGTGTTGGCCCCTGGGCTTGGGCTTGTGTTTGACGAACGCAGCTCTGAGCTGGGAGTGCCCATGCTCTCTGCTGTAAAGTGGCACCCTCCTGTCTACCACCTGCCTGCCGTAGTAGTGAGCTACAGCCCCTAAAAGACAGCCGAGCACTCTCAGGGCAGTAGTATGTGGGGAAGCCCAAACCCCACCCAGCAAGGGAGAATTTGGCCTCAGTGACAGACATGCCACCATCTGGAGACACAGCACAGCAAGGATCACAGTGAGCAGTGTTGGCTGCCCTGGAGGGTGTGCGTGTGCGTTGAGAATACACACTGCTGAAGAATTCTGGAACATAAACATTATGGAAATTCTTTTTGTTTGTCATAATCTTAATTTTAAAAGATGCCTTACTTCTCTAGAAACTAAAGATATTGTATTTCACTTTATAAAGAAATGAACCTATTTTGCATTATTTAACTCTGAAGCCAAATTTTTTGCTCATCAGAGTCAAAATGGCATTATTACTGTGGATTGCCCCCTGGAATTCTACATTCAAATGTAGAAGTTGCTACTACTTATAGCTATGTTTGAAAGAATCTGCGCCGCTTCACAGGTGCAGCCTGATTTCACATCCATACTTCTCCCGGGAACTCAAACCACACAAAGTAGAAAGGAAGTAATGACCCTAAGGAGCCAGCTGTGGCTCCCTCCGATGGCTCCTTGTTCTCTGCCTTCTCCTTTACCAAGGATGGAGGAGAATGGAAATGCAACTCCAAGCGTAGCTGCTCAGATACTGGTGTCAGGAGAGACATAAGCTCGCCTAAGATGCAGCCTCTGGGTGCCAGGAGCCACCCCGTCCACAGGACATGTGCAGACAGGCACTCTGGAAACTGAAGTGTCTGTCATAGAGCCCCAGGAACGAGACTGGTTCTCAGAGGGGCATATTCCGAAGCCCTGAAAGTTCCGCTGGGCTGGGGATGTGTCTGCTAGCAGAATGCTTGCTCACCTGGCACACCCAAACCCATAGCTCCTTCCCCAGAACCACATAAAACCAGGAGTGGTTGTGCAAGGCTGTAATCCCAACACTAGGGAGATGGAGGGTCAGAAGTTTAAAGCTATCTTCAGCTAGATAGTGAGTTCAAAGACAGCCTAAGGCACAAAAAAAAATAAAAATAAAAAATGTGTTCTATTAAACATGTTCCACATCTCGGGGTGGAGCAGGAGAACCATGAGTTTGAGGCCAGCCTGAGGGCAGAGTAAACTCTGTTTCTACTTGTCACCCAGCTTCCCACTGCCACTCTGTCATTTAGGGGAGCACTTCCAACGTGCCCTGCCCAGACCTGTGCGGCTTGGTGGGGACATTCACTACCAAGTCTGAGGCTGAGGCTCTGACTTCCACACATTCAGTCTTCTCAGCTTTGAAGAGGGGCCTGCAGCCACCTTGGCATGGGTGGTGTTGACAGACAGTTGGCAATCCTGCCTACACTACCCAAAGCACCAGCCTAAGTGCTGCTCCTCGGGCTCATGGGAAGCTTCCGGCATCAAAGCCGAGACCCTGCACATGTTTGAGGGAGGTGTGCACAGAACCTGTGGTGATCGTCCTTCCCATCTGAGTCACAGAAGCAAAACACACCAAGGTCATGTCTTCCCCTAGACCAGTGGTTCTCAGCCTGTGGGTCGTGACCCCTTTGGCAAACCTATCTCCAAAAGTGTTTACATTATGATTCATAACAGTAGCAAAATTGCAGTTATCAAGTAGCAATGAAGTAATTTTGTGGCTGCGGGTCACCACAATACCGTATTAAAGGGTTGTAGCATCAGGGAGGCTGGGAACCACTGCCCTAGATTGTAAGTCCAGGGTGGCAACCCTAACCCCGTGATGGGGTTAAGACAATTACAGCAGGCCTTCAGGAGTGGTTTGTCCTGAGGAGAGCCAAACTGCATGGGTTACCTACCTCTCCGGCCCCTTGGTTTTCACGGACCCCTCAGGGTGCAGGACATTGTCGCTGTCCAGCAGCCACAGTTCTGGACTGTCTGGTGAGTCAGTGCTCCAGTCGCACAGCAGCACTTTCTGACCCTCACCACACCTGGGTAGGTCACCTCGTGGCTCTGAGATGAGAGGCCAGTAGGATGGGGGAGGGCCGAGGACTGGCCCCCGTGGGCTTGCTGTAGGGAAGGAGCCTTGGGCAGTTCACATCCCAGCTCCTAGAGCTCTCTGGGGATCACTCCCCAGCCTGAGCCTCACAGGCTGTGCTGGGTGATTTCTGGAAGCCTCCAAGAGCAGCACTATTCCTAGGTGTCACCTTTGGGAGTGTCTCACCTGGGGAGGTTTCCTCCACAAAAAAACAAACAAGCCTTTCTGCATTTGAAACGACACAGAACCAGCCATGGCTCTCACCGAAATCTGAAGCTTTATAACTTCGGATAGGTAGTTACCATCTGACCGCCATGTCCTTCCTTCTTTGCTCTTGCAGGCGACAGTGAACGCCCGGCCCCAGCGAATCCTTGACACATCCTCTCTCACCCAGTCGGCCCCAGCCAGCCCAACCAACAAGGGCATGTACATCCACCAAGTGGGGTAAGTGGGTTGCTAAGCCCCTCTGCACTGTAGCGGGGTCCCAGACATCACATGGCGGCCAGGTACTTGTTTCCCCTCCCCTCTTCTCTCTCCCTTAAACGCACACGCATGCGCGCGCATACACAGACACACCACATGCACGCGCGCGCACACACACCTTTCTAAACTTCTTCCCTATGCCAACAACACGCAGCATGACAGGAAACATCAAATGATGCCTGATTTCTATGCCTTTTGCCATACATTTTTTCCTAGGACCTGGGTTCTCTGTAGGTGAGCGATGGGGTTGGCTCTCCACTGACACACCGGTTTCTTCTCAGGAAGCGGTGTGACTGACTGGGCACACGGCTCTGATTATGTTATCTTGTCCTCACTCCTGCCTGGTGAAGGATGCTTCTCAGCACCTGCCAGGAGCACCCAGCAAGGGCAATCCTACTTAGTCAGCTAGTGGCAGGCCAGGCAGTGGAGACAGCTCTGGGGGAGAGTGGTCCCTCAGTACCGCATGCTGTCCACCCTTCTCGTACCCGCAGAGGCTCCCCGCCAGCGTCTAGCACCAGCAGCTGCAGCCTGACCAATGATGTAGCCAAGCAGCCTGTCAACCGTGACCTGCCCCCCAGCCGCCCGGGAACTGCGGGCCCCACGGGGGCACAGTACACCCCTCACTCCCACCAGTTCCCTCGGACACGGAAGATGTTTGACAAAGGCCCTGACCAGGTACAAAGACGAGCTGTTTCGCAGCCCCTCGTGACCAGTAAGTGCTCAGTGTCAGGACAGGCTGCTGAGGGCTTTGTTTCCCTGACATTCCTGTTTGGGATCATTCTGTCCCTGTGGCCTGCTGCCAGATACTGCCTTTGAGAGCCTTGGAGGCACAGTGGCACCAGGGCCGCAGCCCCTGTCTGCAGGTCTGGTCTTTCTGCAGCTCCTCCTTCTGGGTTGCCTTATGTGGGCCACTCCATGGCTCACGTTAAGCATGTGGGTAAATTGCATTGTGTCTCCACTGGATGTGGCCACTGCTCTGCGATGCTTGTTCCAGATGGCTTGTTTGTTATTCCTGTAAGCATTCGGTTGCTCCATACAAGCAGACACACGTGCCTTAACTAAGCTGGAAACAGTGGTTCAGGAGAGAGGAATGTCCTGCTGCCCTAGGCTCCAGAGCCACGCATGAGCCACATCCTGTTAGCCACTGCCCAACAGAGAGAGAATTCAGGTGTCTCTCAGCAGTGGAGGCTGCCGTGGCTCACTTGTCGTGTGGGGAATAAAGAAGGGGCCACAGCTTGCAGCAGTGACACACACCTGGAACCCCAGCACTGAGAATGCTGAGGTAGAAGGCGGCCACTGGCTCTGTATTACAGACGAGGAGAGGGCGGAGTGGCCATCTGTCACAGCATTGCTCACGGTGCCTTTGTCATAAGTTACACATCCTTTGGAGTGCCAGGGACATACGGTCCTGACATTCAGGGGCCTGAGGCGGGAAGATCAGGACTTCGAGCCAGACTGGGCTACGTAGGGAGACCCGCCCTGTGTCAGAACTCAAGTCAGTAGGAGAGGCTAAAACGTTTCCTCCTGATTCTGCTCTTTCTCAAACACCCCAAGGCCACAGATGATGCAGACGATGCTACAGGACACAGAAGTTTCACTTGTGCCACGCTACAGACTGGCTTCTGTGACTGGAGCGTCCGCTACTTTGCCCAGCCAGTCATGAAGGTGAGTGCTGCGCTCCGTGCCACGGTGGGGCCGCAGCACGCGGCTCCCACGCCCTTGGTGCTCTCAGCTGGAGCTGGAGCCCTTGTGCTGCTCTCGCCTTGCTCAGGCGTCCCTTCCTGGTGACACAGAGCCCCAATCCTGTCCCCATCTTGGCTCGATAGGGTCTGTTAGCCCAGCTGTGACCTGAGCAAAAAGGCCAGGATTTGCAGGGGTGTGGCTTGGGCAGAGCTCAGTCACATTCAGCCTTACCTTTGATTTCTGTGGCTTCCTTCATACCTTGCTAGATGTTGGAGGGTGACACCAAAGAGTTGTCATGGTAACCGTTAAGGCAGAAGAGCCCTTGGTGTTGCACACCTTTAATCCCACCACTCTGAAATCAGAGACAAGAGGATCTCTGTGGGCCAGCCTTGTCTACAGAGTGAGTTTCAGCATAAGAGGGTTACATACGTAGAGACACCCTGTCTTAAACAGAACAAAACAAAAGAAGAGCTAAAGAGGCCGGCTTGCTTTCCTTCTGTCTTCCCAAAGGAAACACAGTCAGAATTCTACCTAGAATTTGCCAGCATCATATGTCACCATTGTCTAGCTCCCTCGTGGGGAATGTGCTCACACCTATCCTTGGCCATGCTTGGTGATTTAGCCTTCCGGGGACAGTGGCGGTTTACTCTGCCCCTGGGTCTTACTCTGCCTTAGACACAATACAAGATGTATCAAGACTAGATTTGTACCCAAGCTAATGGCCCCAAACCTGCAGAAGACCATCTCCTACGTGTTGACAACTGAGAGCACCTTATATTATTAATTATTTGTCAGCTGTTGCCCAAGTAAGTGCTCTGAAAAGCACTTCAAACAAGCATTAAAATATAAGATGGCTGAATGGCTACATCTTGGGCCACCATTCTCTTCAAACCATTGCTTTGTTTAAGATGCAATATAATATATAAAATAATATATAAAAATCAATTATAGATGGTCTCTATGAGTCCCTATAAAAACAAAAATTGAGGTCAGGAAGGTGAAATGAAGCTGTCTCCACCCCTCAGACATCCCTGTCTTCATGGGAAGTCCCAGCCTGCAAAATGCTGCTGGGATGAGTTGAGTTCAGTACACTTGCCATATACAGAGATATGCTACAAAATCACCTGTATCTCTATCAGAAGCAAGTAGAAATTGAAGTGTAACTTAAGTGATATTTGAAAATACTGAAAATTACAACACTGTAAAAGAAATGAGAGAGGTTGTGTTCGTAGGTGGAGGCTCAATGGCATACAGGTGCTGGGCCTCCCTACATGGCCACTTAAATCAGTGTAGCCTTGATCAAAGTCCCCGTAAAACTGTTTTAACAAAAAATGAAGCGCTTAAAATATGGAAAAAAAGCAATGAAACTCCAAAAATTAGAAACTGCGCGATAGAACAACCCAGTTTCAAGACTGTCCAGTTAGTAATCAGGATGTGTGGGACTAGAGCATGGACAGACACGTAGATCAATAGAGTAGAGAGCCCAGAGACAGCCGCAGGGCAGGTTCCATGATTTCCAGCAAAGGTGTGGGAACAGTCCTATTCGGCAGAGACATTTCAAAGAAACAGCCTCACACCTCATCAACAAGTAACCAGAGTGAACTGTGCCTACATGTAAGACCCAAACTATAAACCCCTGGGTTAGGCACAGCCCTTAATAAGATGCAAACAAAGTGATGGACATCATCAGATAGACACTCGGGCAGTTGCCGTACCCATCCTCAGCTGCACAGGCCGGGATACACAAAACTCTGAGTCTTAGTTTCGGTTTTTATTGCTGCAGTGAAACACCATGACCAAAAACAACTTAGAAAGGAAAGGGTTTGTCCGCGTCATAGTTCACCATCAAAGAAGTCAGGACAGGAACTCAAGCAGGACAGGTACCTGGAGGCAGGGGCTGGTGCAGGGCCCATGGGGGACTGCTGCTTCCTGTCTTGTTCCTCACAGCTTGCTTTTTCATAGAACCCAAGGCCACCAGCCCAGGGATAGCCCCGCCTACAGTGGGCTGGGCTCTCCCCATCAATCACTAATTAAGAAAATGTCCCACAGCAGCAGTTCTCAACCTGTGGGTCTCAACCCCTGTCACTTTGGGCTGAAAAAAAAAAAAAAAACAGAACACCATGAACACTTAATCATGATAGCTTGTGTGTGTTTCTAACGAGCTGTTGTAACTTGCATTCTTTTACGCAGCTTGGTTGCCTTTGTCCCGTATTGCCCATGCTGCTGCCTCCTCATCTACCTGGTGACGTCTTTCCTCTGTGCCCAGATATCCATCCCACCTAGCTATTGGCCATTCAGCTTTTTATTAAACCAATCAGAGTGACACATCTTCACAGTGTACAAAAGCTATTATTAAACATTCCTCACCCCACCCTTGTCTTGCAAAGTTTGGCTGTCTGATTCCTTTGTGTCCAGTCTGGACAGCATGCTGTCAGCAATTGAGGCCAGCGCAGTTTCTTGCCCAAATGGCCAGCTTTGTTACAATGAAAGCAAACTCCTTATGAATGTTTTGGTGTTTTTTTTTTTTGTTTTTTTTTGTTTTTTTTTTTTTTGATGCCCATCATCCTTTTATGGAGTAAATTGATGTTGCCAGGAGCAGACATATCTCACTGTCATGAAAAACCTTACGTTGTTAAAACATCTTAAATGCCATATTCTATAGGTCTTTGAAGCATTTAAAGATCACTTACCTATCTAAAATACATCTCTGTATGACCTTGAAAACATACCTGATTGTTGTAGATGACTGACTATTAAGCTATATTTCTTTCAGGGAGTAGAACTTTTCATTACAATACCTTAAACAAGAAATAGAGCCGGGCAATGGTGGTTGTGTACATCTTTAATCCCAGCACCAAGGAGGCAGAGACAGGTGGATTGCTGTGAGTTAGAGATCAGCCTGGTTTACAGGGTGAGTTCCAGGACAGGCTCCAAATCTACACAGACACACTCTTGTCTCAAAAAAACTAAAAAAGAAAAGAAATAGAAACATATAATACAGTACATAAAAAATAACCTTAAATTTGTATCAATCCACAAAAATTCAGACCAATGCAAAATATTTGAGACTAATAACTGTTTTGTTTTGGTTTTTTTTGAAAGTAGATACAATGATATACCCTTTTATCCTATTATTTCTGTATCTCCTTTTTCTTTTTTAGAACAAGATCACTGAATCTAATCTCCTTTATTCAGTTTTTTTGTTACCAATAACAACTTGTAACTAACACCTTAAACAATGACAAATATCCACAATCCATTGAATGACCAAAAAGCCAACCACCCCTATCTCTTGGGAATATGTCATCATGTTTTCTAGACTGCTTCCTGTTTTGGTGGTAGGGGGACAACAGCTTTAGGAGACCCTAGGAAAATTAAGATGATGGTCAAGCTCTGGGAGAGCTAGCTGTTGTCTATTCTCTTTGTGATGGGAAAGTACAGATCTAAAATCTAGCTGGAGTAGTCTGTGAGGCTGGACCATCTCAGCCCACAGCATTGAAGCTGTTGTGGATGTTGAACTCTGAGAAGACTGCAACAGAGGCTGAGTCACCTGGACCACCCATTTCCATTGGTGTCTGGTCCCCTGCTCTGAAAACACACTAACTTTCAAAGATAACATACACGCCTGTATTAACACCAGTATAGAATGTGTGGTGTGCGCAAGTCAGCTAAAGATGTTTGTTCTATATTTGGGCAAGTAAAAGGCATGTGTCAGTTTTATAAATCCATTTGATCCACATGACCAAACTATAATATGAATCTCCTCCATGCATACGAAAGGGTGGCATGTAATAATAAGTCATGAGGACTCTGAAGCCAACCAGAGTTTTCATGTCTCATCCAGTCTCAGAGCCGTTCCCATACAGAAAGATCAGCTTACATACACATCACTTGCCTGTAGTCTTTTCTAGCCATTTGTAGCAAGTCTTTCTCTGTCCCACCAACCAGCTCTGAAATCATGGTGTGGATTGTTGTTAATTGTGAAGTTATTAATTATGAATGCTTAGCTGATAGCCTGAATTTGTTTTTAGCTGGCTCTTATAACCTAAATTAACCCATTTCTATTCTATGTGCTGCCATGAGACTCGCGGCTGTTACCTCTCCAGCATGTCCTCTACTCCATTTTTCCTGCGTTCCCCAACAGCTTCTTCACAACGCTCTGTCTGCCCTGAAATCCTGCCTAGCTATTGGTTATTCAGCTTTTTATTAAACCGATCAAAGTGACACATCTTCCCAATGTGCAGAAAGGCTATTCCACAATACACCGCTTTGGGTGTTGAATGACCCTTCCACAGGGGTCACCTAAGACCATTGGAAAACACAGATGTTTACATTACAGTTCATAACAATAGAAAGATTACAGTTGTGAAGTAACAGCAAAATAATTTTATGGCTGGTGATCAGCACCACATGAGGAACTATTTTAAAGGGTTGCAGCATTAGGAAGGTTGAGAACCACTGCCCAGAGGCTTGTCTGAAGCCCCTTCTTATGGAGGCATTTTCTCAGTTGAGACTCCCTCCTCTCAGATGACTTTAGCTTGTGTCAGGGTGACTTGAAACTCTCCAGTCCAGCCTGGTTCAGTGAGCAAAGGTACTCGACATACCCTGACCCCTACTAATTCCCAAGACACCAAAAGTAAGGCATAGCCCCAAGGTCCAGACTCCACACAAGACCCATGTCTGCGACATGCCCTACCTCCTGTACATGAGAGCCCCCAAGTTCTCATGACCAGAAAGGGGCTGAGCCTTAGCTTTCAGCTCCCTGAGCCGCCACAGGAGGCTCCGGAGCTCTGGTTAATCTTTCTGAGCAGTCAAGAGGTGCAGAATTGGCATGTCATGGTCCCTGTCATGCCATACAGTTAAGCTGTCCACATCCCTGTAGGGCAGTGGTTCTCAACCTGTGGGCCATGACTGTTTGGGGGTCAAATGACCCTTTGACAGGGGTCGCACATCAGATGTTTACATTACCATTCATAACAGTAGCAAAATTACAGTTAGGAGTCATAAAGAAATGGTTTTATGTTTGGAGGTCATCGCAGCAACCATATTCAAGGGTCACAGCATTAGGAAGGTTGAGAACCCTGCTAGGAGCTCTGCTTGGAGAGAAGTTCCCAGAAGCCAGGGCTGCATGCTTGTTTACCAAAAGGCAAAATTTATTCATCCCAGAGAGAAATGGTTGGAGAGAGACAACAAGGCGTACGTAATACACAAGCTCATCTGATCCCTCTTCTCTGCTCGCCCCCAATGGCGCCATGCCTGGGCCTTCTCACAGAGTACTGTTTATCTCCTCTCACTGGGCCGTGCTCTGTGCCTTCTGCTTCTTCATCCTGTGGACCTGGTTCCAGTACCGCCTGTCACAAGTACAGCAGGTGTGCAGGACTCACTTCTAAATGCTGGGTAAAAGACACAGCCCCATCCCCACCCCATGAGGCAGAGTCCAGGGCCAGGGCTCTGCCACCAGTGACAGTCAGCGACAGTGTAAGTGCCAGACTGTCTGACACCCTCCAGGCTGCCTCCCCCAGTGTGTCTCCTCCAGGCCTCACTGGTCAGACAGCTGCACCAGGACCTGGGACCCCACCCTCGGGCCCCGCCTCCTGCTCCAAGCACCTTTTAGACCTGCAGTGTGCTCCCAGAGAAACTGGGTTCCATTAAAGTGCATCTCTCCGCACTCAGTCTGCACTCACAGAAGCTGCTTCGTATTGTTGCTCCGTGTAATTGGTCATTTGTCATTTCTTTTCTAATAAGCTCCGCAGTGTCATGAAATGACACTCTTGGTTCTGAACCCCATTTGCTGCTGTTGGGCTATTTTTAAACCAATAACCATTCACAGAGAGGCGGTGACATCTCCAGGTTGTGTGTCCTCCTGTGGATGTTGATTTTGTTATTGAGTGTATTTCTTTGCAGTGTTTGAGAAGAAAAAAAGGTGCATAGCAATAAAACACTGGAAAGGAAATACAGGCCTGCCTGGGGTCCCCGTCCTGCTGCTGGTCTCCCCAGGAAGCAGCTGTCTCCTGCTTGACCCAGACAGGTCCTCTGTCTGTACTCAGCCAGGAGGAAGGAGGGTCTTATCTTCTTCATTGACTGTCTCAGTGTTTGGGGAATTTAAAACTAACTCTTAGCTTCTCAAGAAAATCAGTCAGTGAGGTTTACCCACTTAAGGGAAAGACGGTAATGTAGCCATGTTGACAATTGAGTGCCATTGTCAGAGGCAGAGGTCTGCCTCTGCGTAGCTAGGAGTGTTTCCCTTGTTGGAGAATGTCAGGGCTCTACCCTACAGTCCCATCTGCTCCTATCAGTAGGCTTCAGCCAGGGCCCAGACGAAAGGATCTAGACCTCCAGTACTCAGTAATGTCCTTTGCTTGTTTTGTTTGTTTGTTTGTTTGTTTGTTTTTGTTTTGTTTTTTGTTGTTGTTGTTGTTTTTGTTTGGTTTTTTTTCCCCTAAAGCATTTTTCCACTATGTAGCCCAGGCTGGCCTGGAATTCACCATGTAGACCATACTGCCTCGAATTCATGGTGCTCTGCCTGCCTCAACCTCAAATGTTAAAATCATGGCCATGCACCACCATGCCCAGCTGAGCCTAATCTAGGGTTTTCTGTCCTTAAAGATCCCTGAAGAGCATGACCTGGAGAGTCAGATCCGCAAGGAACGCGAGTGGCGGTTCCTGAGAAACACTAGAGTCAGAAAGCAGGCACAGCAGGTCATCCAGAAGGGTGAGTGCACACCCAACCCCACCCCCAGGGGAGTGGGGCTTCTGGCCAGTCCCCTTCAGCTCTCAAGGCACTGTGTGTGCTGCTCTTGGTGGAGGCCGCTGGAACAGGAAGGGATGGCGTGATGACGCACATCTCACTAACCACCTGGAATGCTCTCAAACGGACCACTGGCTCCATCCCTGCAAACCTGGACAACCACAACCTCCCCAGGGCTGTCCCACATCTGACCCGTGCCGTGTGTGCCCTCTGCATGCTCTTGCTTCCAGCCCCATGGGGGAAGTGGTACCAATCAGCCGAGGACAGTGTGTGAGCTGCTGTAGTGTCCCAAGTGCAGCAGGAGCGAGGGCCAGGTCACCTCACCCTGACAGAGCTGGGAGAGTGCTAACCGCACAAGCATGGGTTCCTGGGTCTACGCCCCAGAACCCACATATAAAAGGCAGGCACTGTACTGCATGTTTGTGATTCCGACACTGCCAAAGCAGACAGGCATTCGTGGCGGCCAGCCTAGCCTAATTGGTGAGCCACTGTTGTAACAACAAAGTTGATTGCTCCTGACGAATGACATCCGAGGTTAACCTCTAACACACACACACACACACACACACACACACACACACACGTTTTCTACACAAGGCAAGTACTTTTTATAGTCTTTGTGAAAAGGAGCTGTGTTTATGAAAAGCACACAGGATGCAGGAGCTCAGTGGTAGAAAACTCACTAATGGTGAGGCCTGGGTCAACCTGAAAGTGAGGTCGGTGAGTGATGGAGACACCGGAGCTCAGGGCTGAGCAGGCCGCATTCATTCTGCCAGGGCCCACTGCGGCATGCTTCTGTCTGTGTGTATGCAAAATGCATTGGCTGCTAGAGTATTTCTCTCACCTTCCAGTGCTCGGGACTTTATTACCCTCCTGGAGTCCTCAACCATAGCAAGGAAATGTGACTGAGAATGAGGACCCCCAGGCTGTAGACTTGTGCCACTACAGACCAAGGCTTCCTCCTCCCAAGCAGTACCACCCCCAGTCATCTCCCTCTTTACCAAGTGTCTGGGAAGAGGAAGCGGAGGGTAGAACTGCCTGCAGAGCAGCCCCATGTGGCTGAACAGAGTCTCAGGGTTTCCATCCTAGAGGCCCCGTACAGCAAGGGGACACAGACAAAGGGAAAGAGGCCACTCAGAGCTACCCAAGAGCGCCTAACCCTCTACTCTGCATAGATTACATGAGGGCCTCCTGGCTAGACCAGAAAGCTTTCTTCTGTCCACCCGAGAGCTGTGTTCACTGGTAAGAAGATGTGTGATCCCTGAAGCACCCTCCAGATACCCAGAGGTCCGTGCGTGTCTGGGACCGAGGCAGAAAGGAGGTGCTGGCTTCCCTCGGTGCTGCAGCTCTGAAGTGTGTCTGCTCTGAGTAGACCGCACTGCCCACGGTACATGTGTGCAGCTGCCTGGACCCACATCCGTAGCTGCTTTCTGGCTCTTGAAAAAGGAAAGCCAGGAGGGTGTGTGTCTTCAGCTAATGTGTGGGGCCTGGTAAGAAGACCCTGGGTTTTAACGGGGTCTTGAGTAGGTGGTGGCCTCACCCTGAAGTTCTTAGCACTCTCTTCAGACTCAGACTCAGTGGTTCCTCTACCCTGAATATTGCTATGTCTGGTGTAGTCAGCATTTATCAGAGGTGCGTCCGTGTCCAGCTCTGCCCTGGGCTAAAGCCCCTGTCCTCAGTGTGCACTTGTAACCCTTCTCTTTGATCCCTGCTGACCCTCTCCGGCTCTGTCTGGTAAAGGAACTGTGAGTGTTGTTGCAGATAGGAACTCGGCTCACTGTCTCTTACAGGCATCACCAGACTGGATGATCAGATATTTCTGAACAGGAACCCTGGTGTACCCTCTGTGGTCAAATTCCACCCCTTCACACCTTGCATAGCTGTCGCCGACAAGGACAGCATCTGGTAGGCGTGGCTTCAGCTCACCCTGGTGCCTTCTCCCTCCATTGCTCCTGGACCTCCCCTGGGCTGCATTAGCAAAGGTCAGGACAGGACAGGCAGGGGGCCTGCTCTACAGAAGCAAACAGGTGTCAGGATCCCCGAGAGAGAATTTGCACCAGGTTCTAGCCTGCTGTAGTGAGGAGACTGTCCACTTTAGTGGGTTGTTGGTGTATAAAATGCACGCCTGTTGATGCCGTTTTCCTTCCTTTGGTTTGGGACTTTAAGTCATGGTAAGCTGCGTATGACAGGAAACTGGCCATCTTAACCATTTGCTGTGAGTGTGCATGCATGTGATGAAGGGTAACCCACCAGTACCTCCAGAATGTTCTCTGTCTGCCATACCAAAACCAGCTACTTGATAGGCGTTAGCAGAGGCCCCGGGGTCTGGGCTGTGTCTCCCTAGTGACCGTCTTCCTGTCACCTCTTATTCCTTCAAGCTTTTGGGACTGGGAGAAAGGAGAGAAACTCGACTACTTCCACAATGGCAACCCTCGGTACACCAGGGTCACCGCCATGGAGTACCTGAATGGCCAAGACTGCTCCTTGCTGCTGACAGCCACAGGTGAGCAGGACTGGTGTGGTCCCAGACCTGAGGGACATGTTCTTTCTGTTTGTCCTTTCTTCACAAGCCACTACTCGCAAGGGTCCCCGTCACTCTGAAGAATACATTTGTGAGGAAAAGGGCGTGGCTACAAGCAAGTTAATGTTGTCAGGACTCTAGGGTCCCGGCCCTTCTGTGACCAGGAAATGCCACATCAGCCTCTGCCCTCCTAACCTTCATGGGAGACCCACAGCCTGAGCCATGAATGACCACGAAGGCCCCCAGGCCAGGGCCCTCCGTCTTTGCAGGCCAGCTTCCTTCTTCCCGAGGGGGTGAGGGGGTTGTTTCAGAAACAGAAATGGCTCTCCCTCTGTTTTCTTGTTTGTTTGATGTGACGTATCTTAATACCATGCTCATTTTTGAGCAGTAGTGTTTCGGTCTGGAGAGCCAGGCAACTGTGCTCTCTGACCTTCGGTCAGGCTGATGGGTGTGCAGAATACCAAGGGACGCCAAGGGCAGTGTGCACGAGGGTGACACCCCCAAGTCTATGTCCTTTGCAAAAACTAAGTTTCACACACTGAGAGGCTGGACTAGAGGGAAAGAGGAAATGACTCCGCTCTCAACCAGCTCCTGTCGAGGCTCTGGGAAGGAGACGTGGCCATGCAGCCAAGCCACTGACATGTGCCTTGTGGTTTCCAGTGCTGGGGTCTTATCATGGCGCCGTCTACCTCCACAGCTATCTTACTGATTGCTCACATCAGAGTCGCAGGACTAGACATCCAGAACACTGCATCTGTGTCTCAGAGATAGGGATGGATAGGGCATACCTCCAGGGCACGGGCTTATGCTGCCTTTCCCTCCCTCCCTAGATGATGGTGCCATCAGGGTCTGGAAGAATTTTGCTGATTTGGAAAAGAATCCAGAGATGGTTACTGCATGGCAGGGGCTCTCAGACATGCTGCCAACAACACGAGGTGGGTCAAGCTCTTTCTTTGGCGTGCCACCGAGAGTACAAGGGGGGCCTTTGACTCCTCAGGAGGAAGCCACCTAGAACTGTGAAAGACATAGTTCTGATGCCTCCAGGACACCCATTCTCTTCTGAGTTTACAAAAACATCCAGTGGTCTCCCCTAGAAACCACAAGTGTAGGTAACCCTCAGGGATTCCAGTGCTCGCCATCTTCTCAGTCAGGCAGCCCTGTGGGTAGCCAAATGTGGCTTGGGAAGTATGGCTGCTGGCTGGGCATGAAGGCTGTTCTGGTGCCCCAGGACCACTCTCCATCTTGGAGAGGTCCAGCCATACTCAGACCTGCCTGGGCCGGTGGGACCTGGGCCCCCAGAACCATGGGAAAGGATTTCAGCCTGAGAGGCCTGTGTTTCCCTTGTAGGAATCTCAGCTAACTGAGGTAAGGGATGAGTGAAGGCCAGAGGGTCCACATGTGCTGTCCACTTTCCCAAGAAAGGCTCGGGGGCTGCCTGCTGTGGCTCATGCTTCAGGAGGTGTTGTGTCTGTGGCCATGTGCCTCCTGCAGCAATGAGGGCTAGGGAAGATCCGGCCCCTGCCTCCGTGGCTTCTGCTGGGTATCTGCATCTGCTCTACCAGAGGACTTGAGCGTTCATTTGTTGCCTTGGCCCTGGGTACAGAGGCTCGCTTTATGAACGGGCACAGGCCGCTGCACCTAGCTGAGGGCTCGTTGCATTGTGTCTATCTGCTCATCTCCATTTGAGTAGTTAGGACGCTCTCCTCAATGTCCTACCCAGCGCTGGGTGCAGACGGCCCATGGCCTGTATGAATTCCCTGCTTTCCCGAAGAGAACTAGGACCTTGGTGCTCTGACTTGGCTGGAAGCCAGTGAAAGGTGACCTGCTGTTTGTGCCTGGGAGTTGCAGAAGATGTCTATAGACAGGGTCTGAGTCCTGTGACTCAGTGTGGGTGGATGGGGTGTGTAAGGTCTTGGGAAAGCGCAGTGCTCATCCGAGCGTCATTGCACCAGCCTGGCCTTACATGACTGAGGGGGACGCCCGGGATGTCCCTGTCTTGTCTGAGCCACTGTGTTTCCCCAGGAGCTGGGATGGTGGTAGACTGGGAACAAGAAACTGGCCTCCTCATGAGCTCAGGAGACGTGCGCATTGTCCGAATCTGGGACACTGACCGAGAGACGAAAGTGCAGGTAAGCACTGGGGGGGGGGGCTGCTACATAGTAACATACTCCCCAGCTCCCACTCCACAAAATAGATCCGGAATCAAGACCTGTGGCCTCCATGCAGGCACAGTCAGTGACTGCTGCCCAGCTGTCTGTCTGCAGGGAGACTGGCAGGAGATGGCGTCTTGCTGCTCAGCAAGAAGCTAATTACCTTTGGATGCACAATGACTGTGGTACTTTAACCCTGCATTACAGCATAAAAAAGCCTGTGCTGATCCAAATTATTTCCGAATATTGTTTTCTCCATGCGAATTAGGGACTATCAGAAATCAGTAGGGTGAACTGCCTTAGATGGGAACTGTTAATTGTTTGACCATCTGCCTCTGGACACAGAAGGCAGGGTTGCCTTCCGTATGCTGCCATTGAACTAGAACCCGGCCCCTAACTGAAATCATCTTTCATTTTCAAGATTGTTTGTTTTTGAGACATAATCTTACTGTGTAGACCAGTGTGGCTTCAAAGTTGTCATATTAATAGGTTTTTGCCTCAGATTCCTGGGCTTCCTTACCAGAGTCCAGTTGTACCTACCTCCTTTGGGTCCAAGACAAAATCTCAGAGACCGTAAGGGCATCCATCACACAGGTAGCTGAGGGATGTCTTTTCCCAGTGCCCAGGAGACCGCAGGGCAGAGCCTGGCCTGAGCATTCTCCAACCTGCCCTGCCAGAGTGGGGGCATGGACAGTTTTGGGCGTGTGCAGAGCAAAGGGCCAGAGACCGGCAGGAATGACAGGAGCCGGCATGAGTTGAGGTCGAGTTGAGGTCTGTCCATCAGCACCTGCTAGACCGCCTCCGTGGCATCCTCATGCCCCATAATGCCACCAGACAGTTGGAGAAACGCTCTCTCTCTGAGTCCCTGGGAGACGGGGGACAGTGCTTGATTGTTGCTGTCCCCGGGGGCTGTGTGCAGGCGGAATTCCTTGCATGTCACTGACTCAGCTGCAAAGGAGGGAGCATGCTCTTTAACAACGTCCCCATTCAGAGCCCCGCCCCCCACCGTACCCCTCCCCCCCCCCAGGTCCTCTCAGGCTTGCCCTGTCTGATTAGAGAGCATGTCCGTCCCTCTGAGGCCTGTTTCCAGCTCCTTCTTCTTGCTTCCATTCATCACCCCCTGCCCTTCTGCAGTATTCATGGTACCAAGGGGAGCAGCTCCTCAGCTCTTCCTTGACTAATTAGGGGTTTGAAGAGAGCGCTAACGAGACTCCCTCCCTGCCAAAATGTGCTTCGGTTCGTCTTTCTTTTCAGGAAAGGGAGAGGAGATGTTGCTGGAAAGTTTAATAGGCACTGAGAGTCAGGCATCCCCACAGTTCCCTCCCAGGCGGTGCCCAGGCACGGGCTCACGGGCTCTACTCAGCAGATCAGCTCATGCCTGATGCCTGTAGCCCTCACTACCCTCAACCCAGTCCCTCTGGCCACGATAGCCGTGTAAGCGAGACCTGTCTCTCAGCCTGAAAGAAAGGGGGGTGTCCACAAAAGACCCTGCGGCCTGCTGTGTCCTTCCTCACGGCTCTTTCCCCGGGCTCAGGATATCCCCACAGGTGCTGACAGCTGTGTGACGAGTCTGTCCTGTGATTCCCACCGCTCACTCATTGTGGCTGGCCTGGGCGACGGCTCCATCCGAGTCTACGACAGGCGGATGGCACTCAGTGAATGGTAACTGCCACACCTCCCCCTGCTCAGCGCTGTTTGAGAGGCACCCCTACCCCACCGCCAGCGTAGGGTCCAGCTCTCTCTGTGAGGGAAGTAGAGATTGCTGGGGGGGGGGGCGGTCACTGTCTGGCTTCTTTCTCCATCTTTACCTGGTGTCCAGTTGTCTGATAGCCCTGTGGCCTGCCTCTCAGAGAAGACCCCTTAAAGCTGACCCCACAGAGGCAGAGGAACAGAGTGACCTTCTCACTAAACTGCTTTGTCAGGCAGGTCATCCCAAAATATCACCCAGACTTGAAGGCCAGACCTGGGGGACTGGAGGCTAGACAGATGAGCCGGTGGCCTAGTACAGCCTAGTTAGTGGTTCCCTGGGGCCCTCCTGAGGCTCTGCCCAGGGGCAGCTGCCAGTCACACCTGCTCCTCCTAGCCCTCACCACAATTCCCTGGGCAGTGAGTGGGGAAGAGGAGCTGGGCTGGGCCTGTCCTGACTGCACCTTCCTCCTTTAGCCGGGTCATGACTTACCGCGAGCACACAGCGTGGGTGGTAAAGGCCTACCTGCAGAAGCACCCTGATGGCCACATCGTGAGCGTGAGGTAAGGAGCAGCAAACGTGCAAAACATTGTTTTCCCTCCATTTAAATATGTCCTTGATATTTAAACACCTAGGGGCCAGGGACCATGGCATTTCAGAGCAGTAATTTACTCTACTCTGTGACTGGCCAGAAAGGTCAGAGTGCAGAGTGAGTGTGTGTGCAGAGCAAGGGTGTGTGTGTGTGGATGTGTGTGAATGAGAGTGAGTGTGTGTGTGAATGAGTGTGTGTGTGAATGAGAGTGAGTGTGTGTGTGAATGAGTGTGTGTGTGTGTGTGTGTGAGTGAGTGTGTGTGTGAATGAGTGTGTGTGTGTGTGAGTGTGTGTGTGTGTGTGTGTGTGTGTGAATGAGATAAGATGAGCAAGTAGTTGTGTCCCCTCCTGTAGACGCAAGGGCAGCAAAGCAAGATGCACCTGGAGCAGGCGGGCTGCCCAGCAGACTGCCCTGTCGCCAGCCAGCCTCTGCACATAAATTCAGGCCTGCTCCTCAGTAAATACTGTGCTGAGAGCAGCGAATCTTCATTTGCCTGCTAAAGAGACAGCAAAGCATAATTTACTGTTGTGAAGCCACCATTCCTTCCCCCTATTCTGTGGCAGGAAGCAAAGCGTAACCCCTGGAAGGGACATTGGAGCAGAGGCTGCCAGCCTTGGCAAGACGGCAGTGTGCCCTCCCTGTGGGCTGGGCTGGGCATCCACCAGGCTCCCTGTTGTCATGGGTTCCACTTCATCAACTCCGGTCCCTGTGGCCCTCTGCCCCTGCCCATGCTCGTAGCCTCTTCTCTAACCCTGAGCTGTGTCCTGCTTTGAGCGAGCTCAGTGGCTGTCTTAGTACCAGTCCTGGCCTTTTCCAGCTTACGAGGAGCTGGACTGCCGGGAGCCCGGCCTGCCGAAGCCAGTAGGGTGGCAGGGTAGGGGCCTTTGTGCGCCACCTGGGAGGCCTTTGATAGGGCCCTGGGAGTCTACATGGCTTTGCCCTTAATAGCATGTGCAAAAGGGCGTGAAACTTCACACGGTCAGTGTCACCGTCCTCCAGAGCCAGACCCCTCTCATGGGGCTCTGGGTAATATCCATAAGGTTGCCACCAGCAAGCGTCACTATGGTCCTCTTCCGCAGTGTCAATGGAGACGTGCGCTTCTTTGATCCTCGGATGCCTGAGTCCGTGAATGTGATGCAAATTGTGAAGGGGCTGACAGCCCTCGACATCCATCCCCAAGCAAACCTGATCGCCTGGTAGGTACCCTGCCTCCATGTCGCCCCTGTTAGGAGTGCACAGCGCTGGGCTTTGTTATGTCGGTGCTTTTGGAGGAGCACAGCTTAGAGGCATAACCATGAAATGAAAAAGAAGGTCTCTTCCTGCCTTCTCCAGCCTTGAGAACAAACACCTGTCCTCAAGGCATCTCTGAGGATAGGCCTGGTTCTTCCTGAGGGTAAGATGAGTAGCCTCTTCCTACCTCAGGGTGAACCTCCTGGCCTGTGGCCCCCATGTAACAAGTTGCCTATTTCCTCCCACACCACAGGGAGACAGAAGCTAATATTCTGCCCATCTTTTCCTTCCTGCCACAGTGGCTCCATGAACCAGTTCACAGCCATCTACAATGGAAACGGGGAGCTGATCAACAACATCAAATACTATGATGGGTTCATGGGCCAGCGAGTCGGGGCCATCAGCTGCTTGGCTTTCCACCCACACTGGGTCTGTACCTTCACTCCAGGGTTTCTGGGGAAGCGGGTGAGGAGTCAGGTGGTAACCTAGGAGACTTGGGCCCTATGTCCTGTTTCCAAGAACATAAAGAACTGAGCTAGGCCTGAGGTCTCCAGAAAACCATCTCCCTGCCCCCTAGAAAGCAAAGTAAACACAACAGAGGGAGGAACAGCAGCTCGTGTCTCTGGTTTGGGGGCTTCTCCTTCCCTCTTGGGGAAAAAGCAATAGAGGTGTGTCACTGGCACCTTCCCACAATCGTGTCCCTCATGTGGGCTGTTATATGGGTTAGGGTTTTGCAGAGTGGGTTTCATGGAGCCTGCGTGCAGACGCTAAAGTGCACAGCATCAGATTCCCAGAACCGTCCCAGTGGAGCGATCCTGAAAAGAAGCTGCAGGGAATCATGGGTAGTATGCAAATTGCTTGTAATGGAATCTGGATGACACATCTTCCCTGCTAGAAACTGGCAGTGAATGGCCTTCATTTCTGTGCCGTGCGCGGTAGTTAATGCCTCCCGGCTAGGGCTGGGCACCCTTCTCCCAGGCCCAGCACTGCAGCCCTACTGTAGCAGAGGCCCTGCTCATGCGCTTGTCTGCTCTCTCCCTCACAGCCTCATCTGGCAGTCGGGAGCAATGACTACTACATCTCTGTGTACTCTGTGGAGAAGCGGGTCAGATAGCAGCAGCACCCGGGACCCCTGCCAGGCTGCAGCCACCCTCTGCTGTACATAGTGAACCAAGCTGCACTGCTCGGGTGCAGTGCCCACCTCCCTGCCCGCCCTGCAAACCTCGGCTCCTGACATGGCTGTGGCCAATGAGGAGGGGCTTGCGCATCTTTGTCTCTGTCTTCACTGTAATGTACAAGTCCAGAGAAAGGGAGGGTTTGACTTCCCGCCAAGAACCAGCACCCAGGCGCCAAGGACCTCACGATGCCTCTCATGCATCTTGGTCCTTTCCTGTCCTGTTTTCTTCAAGTTTTACAAAGGGATACAAAGTGATCAAAGCATTAGTCACAGGACAGTCAGAGCCCTGTAGAAAGCTGTGTGTGGGGCTCTGGAGAGCCTCTGCCCAGCCCCGCTGTCCTCACAGTGTGGACAGGAGCTCCTCCGTGTATGTGTGCTGGGAATGGAGGAAAGCATTGGGGGGGGGGCTCCCCTGCTGCCCAAGTATGGAGTCTGAGCCTGGCCCTCCGGGGCACAGAGGCAGCCCAGCACACCCACCTCTTCACTGGGTTTGGTAGGATGGTATAAGGAAGGGGCCCCTCGGCACAGCTAGACCTCTGAGGTCCAGCCTGGGCCCACACAGGATCTGTGACTCCGTGTGACTCTGGACAGGTGAGGCGGGTCTGCAGAATTACTGCCTCACCCTGCCAGGCAGTGTCGTTCGCAAGAGCTTCGCCCCCATAGGGCAGTAGCAGACGCCCGGCCCCAGCTCCCTGTTTGTGCCATGTTTGTGCCACACACAGGCACACACGCATGCAGGCACGCAGCCTCCCCATCCATGCCCAAGCACATATGGGTGCCCTGGTCTTCCTGTCTGTGTGCACTTAGGGTGTGCACACGTGCAGGCCCACAGCCTCCCCTCCTGCACACGTCACAGGTGTCCTCACCTGCTAGCCTCACACTGGTCACACAGAGGCTCAGAGACTGCACTGCACCCCAGAGGCAAGTGGGCAGCACCAGCCCATTGATGCTGTGAGTTAGGTTACGTGATGCAATCTGATGTGGAAGCTTCTCAGCGGTGTGTGTGCTGCTGTGCCTGGCGAGTGTCTCTGTGCACACACAAGTGAGGGGCGGTGGCCATTTCAGCCCTGGATGGAGCACTGCATGGCTGAGGAGCTGCACACAAACAGGCACAGCACAGAATGACGTTCTGAAAAGCATTTTCCGTTTTCCCTGGGAACCAGGACCTTTCAGAGGACAAAGTGGCTTAATCAGTTCTGCCAACAGGAGTCCAGTGACACGGGTGGGGACAGTTAGGGCAGAGGCTGGCTCCCCGTGCTGTGCTCAGCGGACTTGTTTGAGTGAAGAGCATCTTCCATGAGAAAGGATCCATGCGGGCGGTGCCGGGCTGACTCCAGGGTCAGAGGGGGCTGGACAAGCAGGACAGGAGACCCTTGTACCAGGAGGGGCTCTGGAGGAAGGCTCATCCCCTTGTCTGGGCCAGACAGCAGCTGGACTCAGGAAGGAAGGCCTTAGAACCACCTGACCGCCCCAGGAGCCCACCTGCCCACTTCTGCAGGGCAATCCAGTCGGGGACACGCCAGGACCTTCCAGCAGCTGAAGTCCAGATGTGGTCCAGCTCAGTCCCTGGCTGACTGGTGGTTCTGCTTTGGCAGCACAGGGCCACCTGGAGGGTTGGGGTCGCCTCCCTCCCCTGGGGGACTGCAGAGTGTGCATCTTGCCCATGGGCTGGGCCTTCACAAGTCTGATGCGAAAATTCAATCATGAAACTAACCAAGGCTCAAGAGAGCGCTGGCCTAGAGTTCATTGTCTCTATTTATTTTACCAAAACGAGAGTGGGAAAGGGTGGACAAGTCATAGACCGGCAATGAAGCTCAGAGCAGTGACAAAGCAGCCAAGTGTTAATAAAGAATAAAGCTGTGAGAAGAGACTGCGCCCGCCCTCTGCTAGGCGAGAATGTGTGGCAGGGCGGGGTGGGGCGGGGCGTGCTTGGTCCCAAAGGGCTGTGCCGTCATGGCTTTGCATTTCCCAGTCCCCTGGGGTGGAACAGTCTTGGCCTAAGATGGCCGTAAGTGAAAATGCGCCAGGACAGGGCCACTGTACCCAGCCCTCCTGGGCCTGGGTGGAAAGGAAGAGGTGGTGGTTGCCATGGATACCTTGAGGCATCGTGACTGGGATTCCTCTGCTAGCTCGGGCTTGTCGTTAATAGGGGTGCCCCACATTTACACAGACCAGCTTCACATGGTCATCCCCATTTTTAATTTTTCTGTTCGCGCTGTTTCCACTCTAGGTGAGACCGAGTGCTTCTGCGGAGGGAGGGCAGGAGGGTGTACAGCCGGTCTTGAGGGAGAGAGGTAGCCAGCTCTGTGGTCCTGGGAGGGGCCAGGCAGCAAACTAGCTATAGACATGTGTCCAGAGGCCCAGGGCTCCAGGCCAAACACCCAGCCTCAAGCATGAGGGTATGGCCTGCCCACCAGGACAGCCATGGGGCACCTCTGTGGGTCTCGTGCTGGCCAGTGTTGCGGACCGGGCCTTCACCCACTGCACGTGTCTATACCCCGTGTCCCTGTCCCCATCCTCCTAAGTCTCAGCAGACCCCCTACCCCCAAGGCCCAGGTGTTATTGGCGTATTGGGTCATCCTGAGTTGATTACCCATGTGTTCCCAGAAAGTGGAATGGCACCTCAGGTGCGGAGGGCAAGAAGACGACCTCAGAAGGCCAAGAGCACATGAAGGAAAGTGAGGGCATCTAAAAGACTGAGCTCTCTCCCGACCACACCCAGCCCGGCATCTCAGCATGACCTATATGGAAATGGTCTTTACACAAGTCCAGGCAAAATGAGGTCATGGGTGGCAGCCATGAGCAGGACACAGACCCACAGGGATGGCAGTGGACTCACCCAGTGTCAGGCGCTCTGCCAATCATCAGTGGTGATGGCCACAGTGGCCTGGAGCCCTGATGTTACCAGTCCTTCCCATTCCCACCAGTGCCCTGCCTTTGGGGCTCTCAGCCCTGACCTTCGCGGGTGCTGTAGGCTTCCAAAACGGTACGGTGCCAGGGCAGTATCCATGGGCCTTGTGTGGAAGAGCCTTTGATGTGATACGGCCAACAGCATCCTGTGGTCCTGGCACCGGCTAGAACCAGGCCTGTGCTTCCTTGGCTAAGAAAAAGAAGAGCCTTCTAGCCACAGCTGGCCTACCATGTCCCTTCACAACTCACACAACTGCGCTGCTGCCGCCTGTACCCAAACCTCACGATCCCAGTGCTGCCTGGGCCCGCTTTAGTGGCCAGCATGTGACCTGGGAGATGAAGATGCAGGACAGGAATGCCCTGTACACCGTGACCTGGGCAAGAGCTGTGGGACTTCCTGCATTGCCTCTTTGGTCTCAAAATGTATTCACATGTCACCCACGCCATGGCATGAAACCAGGGCCCTGGCATGCCCTACCCGCCCTCTGTCAGCCTGCACATCCCCCACCGTTGTCCACGGTACTCATGACCTGTGAGAATGGGCTGTCCAAGGGTGGCAGGAAAATCTGCTCTCCAGCCCGGCCCACTCCCCTCCTTCACATGGCAGGGTTATAGCAAATTTGGAACAGACCAAGGCTCCACTACAGTTCCAGGGACCCATCCTCCAGAAGTCTCTGAAGGCACCACGGCAGCCCCTCAATACCGCCATGTCACATCAACTGGGGTTCGGCATTGATGACAGTCAAGTGCCACTCATAGGTAGCCAGGGAAGCTGCTCACACCCCAACAAGCAAAACTGGCAAACCTTAAGGGAGGGAACAGCGTCTCACAACTTTATCGTCCCGCAGCTCTCAAGAGGGAATGTCTCAGCCCAAGAGGCATGCTCAGGTGACTGGCCGTGGAGACAAGATCTAAGGTCTCTGGCCTAAGGGGCTAGGGTTCTAACTCCTGGTGGGGAAGAGGCAGAGAGAGGTGAGGTCCAGAGAGCCACCATGCCCCTGCCTTTCTCTGGGGGTTGGGGTTTGCCCCCCAGAGTCAGTGGGGCCGTGCCCCACTCCTGCAGATGGTTACAGTACAGATAAGGAGGTATCACGGGCTGTAGCTAGGGCCTCATCCACATGAGGGCAGCTGCTCAGCCTCGGGGAGTGAAATGGCTACGCCAGGCCACCCGTGTCACAGTGGAGAGAGACAAAGACAGGCTTGAAGCCAACCCAGGCGCCACACTCAAAAGCCCACTGTGTAAGCTGGGTGGTGGCACGCCTTTAATCCCAGCACTCGGGAGACACTGAGGCCAGCCTGGTCTACAGAGTGCGTGCCAGGACAGCCAAGGCTACACAGAGGAAACCACGTCTCGAAAGGTGGGCGCGGGGAGAGCCCCACTGTGTATGAGTCAAGAGTGCAGGCTGCAAGCCAGCAAGCCCCTCCTCGTGGAAGACAAGGTGTCCCAGAGAGCTTACATACACTATTGGGAAGGATCTAAATGGCTGCAGACAGGACAGGAAAGCCCAGAGCTTGTCCTATGCTGTGGCATGAACTGCCAAGGGAGAAGAGGCCTTTGGGCTAGGATGGCCCCCTGCCCCAGCTTTGGGCTCTGAGCCCAGCTCCCCACTGGCAGAAGGGCCCAATGGTGCTTTTCCATGAACCAGCCCTCCGCAGGTCCCACCTTGTGGCTGTCAAGGAAGAGAAGAATGGCATCCCCCAAGCTGGGTGTGGTGGCTCATGTCCCTCAAGGGGTGAAGAAGGAGGCCTGCCACCGTTTTCAGGCCAGCAAGAAAGGTGACAACCCGGACAGAGTATCAATGCCTCCAATCCCAGGCTTCCAGAAGATTGTGAAGGCAAGACTGGCTTGTCCTGTATAGCTGAAGGTCAGCCAGGGGCATCATAGTTTGCCTCTGTCAACAACAACAACAAAGACAATGTAATTTACAGAACTGAACAAAATATTTTGTGAATCATGTCTCTGATATGGGCTTACTAGTCAGAATACTTTTTTTTTTTTTTTTTTTTTTTTTTTTTTTTTTGGAGACAGGGTTTCTCTATGTAGCTTACTAGAGAGGCTTCCAACCCACAGAGATCTGCCTGCCTCTGCCTCCCTCCCGAGTGCGGGGATTAAAGGTATGCGCTACCATCACCTGGCTGCATTATAATGACGTAATAACCCAATATCTTTAAAAGAAACCAGTAGTAGCCTTTGCCCCGACCCGTGGGACAGTCAACGACGAGCTGGGAGACACCTAAGGGGATCGTGGGGAGTGGGGGGAAGAACAGCAAGTCCATATTCTGACCAAGCTGTCAAACTTTATTTTCTCAGGGGAGGTTTAGATAGGCCCATGGGCAGGATGTGGGCGGGGGTTTGCAAGTGGGCAGGGTGAAAGCATCAGTAGGAAGAATGCCCTGAACTCATCTTTAACTGGCTGTAAAGCCGCAAGCCTGTATCTCTCTCAGAGGCCTGAGGTAGCGAGGATGGTGATGGTCCCCAACAGCCTTGATTAGACATCTCTCCAAAGAAAACGACAAAATGGCGGGCCATCACATGGGAAATATCGATAGATAATGAAACCAACCTGCTGGGGGACCCCATCTCATTCCTGCCAGCATGGTTTAATCTGAGGGTGGGAAGTAAATAAATAGCGCGTGTCCACCAGGACACTGTGCACTGTGGTAGGAATGCTGAACTATGGAAAGAGGTTTGGTGCTTCCGCAGGAAGTTCCGCATGGAGTTCTCGTGTTACCCTGCAATCCCAGGGCTAAATATAAACCCAGAGAAACGAAAGCATGAGACCACACAGAAACCTTGCAGGGATGTTGTTCATAGTCAGGAATGACCCAGAAGACTACCAGTGAATGTATAAAGCAACAGAATGTGTGGAAGGAATTACAGCCGCGAGCGAGAAGGCATCACGGCTGGCCCCTCTCACCCCCCCACCCCCACCCCGCTACCACGTAAGGACGAAGCATTCATGGGTCTGCTTTTTGTTTTACCTTTGTTTTTCAAGACAGGGCTTCCTGCAAACTCTGTACACCAGGCTGGCCTAGAACTCACAGAGATCTGCCCGCCTCTGCCTCCCGAGGGCTGGGATGAAAAGCGTGTTCCACCACTGGTCGGACGCCTTGAGAGGCAGAGCCCAGGCTGGTACTAGACACTGACTCTGCTGGATATCTACAATCATGAGAAACATGTTTATGGTTTTTCTGACTTGGATTAATGTTGTTTATTATCTGTTTAGAGTGTACGTATGCCTGCACATGTGTGGGCATGCACATGCGTGGTGGTCAGAGGACAGCCTGTGAGAGTCTGTTTTCAGCTCAGGTGATCAGGCTTGGCAGCGAGTGCCCTTGTCTGCCCCCAACATCCCACCCCACTGGCCCATCGCTCCTTGTTATCAGCCACAGATGGGCTGCATTGGCTTTGGGTTTGGGCCTTTGGTTTGGTTTTAGCTTGGGTATTGAGACAGGGTCTCACTATGCAGCCCAGTCTAACCTCAAACTTTTATTCCTCCTGAGTTCTGGGTTTATGGGTGTGACTCTGACTCACACTTTATCCCTGTGAGATGCAGTTAGCCAAGAATGAAGTACGGACAGGCAGTGCCTGGCAAGATTTTCTCCTAAACATCATCTTGTCCACCGTGCAGGTGAGTGACCAAAGGCACTGCCATCCCCACATCCCACATCCTGACGGCTGCCAAAGCCCCACCAGGAAGCTCTGCCCATCCCCCAAGCCTGTCGCCCCCTGCCCCACTCCACGCTGCCCTGCGCTGTCCTGTCTGATGATGACTAACATTTCTGGGATCAGATACCACTTCCCTTCCCTGACCACTGG